GACACTGGGTACTCTTCTGGAGACTTCGAAGGAGAAGACTGTAGGAGTAAGACCAGAGGACAACTTCAAGAAGCTCATAGAAACAGAATTACAGGAGAAAATGGCTAAGGGGCTTTGTTTCAGATGTGATGAGAGGTATGCGTCGGGGCTTATGTGTAAGGACCGAACTCTTCAGGTTCTTATCGTTTATGATGAAGAAGGAATGGAGGACGGTGTCGTCTTCCCACCTTGTGGACAAGATGGGTCTTTAGGAGGGGAGTATTATTTGACCGGTCCATACCGGACCGACTTATGAACAACAGTGGTAGAAGAATTCGCCTCCTGCATGCCGATTAAACTGAACGGAGCAAGATGAGCAGATTTGAAAGGTTTTGGAGAAGTTTAGGAGAGAAATTTGAATGTCAAGATTGTTTAGAGATTTCCTTTTGAATTGTATGCATTAAGTTGTTTGTTTTCCTAGGGTTAGGGCATCTTGAATTTGGCTGAAATTTGAGATTTCTTAGGTTTAAGTTTTTGGGCTCTAGCGGATTTGGGAGAGATTGATCCTCCTCTCGAATTGAGGATCAATTGTATCTTTTTATTTTCTTCCGGCAATTTGTGTTATTGCAATAAAATTCCTATTTTTCTCTGATTTTCCGTTGGATTTGTGGAAATTTCTCGCTGTTTTCTCGAGATTGATAGGTTTTCCTTGAAATCTTTAGGAGTTTTCTATCAGATACACTAGTGCTTTAACATGCTTTTTGGTGTTTTTTAAGAACCTCTAGTTCCTTGTTTACTTATATTTGTAAGTCAATAGGGAGGTTTCATGATAAGTCGGGATGTTTCATTATAAACCAGGCATCCATTTAGTTATTATCCTTATTAGGAATTTTTTATTCTTTCATTTGCTAGTTAGGGAAATTTAAAAAGAATGCTAAGAGTCATTCATTTTTTTTCTAAGAGTCATTCTTATGTCTCACCAAGTAGCTAGTTGCACTTTTGTTGATTTTTAGAGTTTCGTCATTGGGGACTAAGGTGTTTTGAAAGTTGGACCTCGAAGGGAGGCGTCATAGTTTCAAACCTCGAGTTACTTTGAACCTATGGAGGTCTTTTGGAAACTTTAGATTCCTTGGGAGATCACTATTGAGAATGCATGCTTATCAATGTGTTTGAAGAGTGTCAATGCATTGGCACAATTTTTATTTTATTGGCATTATCTTTGTCAAGTATCGTAAAGGTACAAGTCATGTCAACTCTATTGACATATTAACTATGTTCCCATGTTAGTTTTGTGTGGAATCTAATTGTGTTGATCAATCAGGTTGTATTATTGACTTAGACTTTAATTACATAGGCCATGTTTGACGAGGAGCTCGTTGGCAGGTCGCAGGGGGATAGCGCGCTCTTGCTCAAGGGTTCGGTGGCGAAGCCCTTGAATTTTTTTTCTTGTCCATACAACACTGCTGCGTCGTGGAACCCCTCTGAGATAGAGAGAACAATGCCGCAACGCTGTAGTTTATAGTGCCACGATCTATGATGTAACAACACTTCTCCTCAAATAAGCGTGCAGTATCCGACATATATTCGACACGACACGCATCCGACACACCTCCGACACATGTAGGATACGCCGAAAATGTGTTCGATTAAAAAATATTAAATACAAATTGGACATGTGTGTCTTAAATATTTTATGATTTTTTAAAATATAATTTATTGTATTTAAAAATTTTATTTATTTAAAGTATTAAAACTAAATTTATTATTTCCTATCAGCAACACTAAATCAATCGCCTGCACTCAATACCCCATTCATCGAATATTTTCATTTTCATTTCTCTTTGGCAGTTGCGACTTTGATTTCACAACAATGCCCGATGTCATCTCAACATTGAAGTCTGACATCGTTACAATATTGACGTTTCAAAATCATCTCAACATTAAAATCTGATATTATCTTGACATTGATGCTAGACACTAGCAATTTTTATATCCATAACTTGACAGTTCATCTTTGTCCAACGTCATCGTAACATTGATGACCAACACCTTCTCAACATCGACGACAGATACATTATTGACTTCGACGTCCGATACTTACTGCATAACATCGACGCTCGACTCTCAACAGCATGGTCTTCTCCTCTCTCTATTCTTAATACACGACATCCATGCCCAACGCTCGACATCATAATATTAATCATTTTAAACAAAAATTCTAGTTAAATGACTTATCATTTCTAAATTATTTTTAATATTATACTTATTCAATTTTTATACATTATTTTTTAAATATAAAAATCATAATACCATGTCCAACTCATTTTCCTATATTTTCAATAATTAACATGTTTCTTTTTCGTGTAATGTCGTATCCATATCGTCGTGTCCGTGTCTTTGCACCATAGGCCACGATGCTGCAAGACAGAGAAGTTAGTGCCAAGGCGTTATAGCATTGCGAGTCAGGTTGAGCAGTTTTTTCTTATTTCACTTGAAGGGTTGTATTATTTAGTGTATTTTAATGTGTTTCTTTGTCTGTTCTGAGTGTAGAACGGTGTGAGAAGTGAAGAGAGACAAGGAGAGAGAGTGAGAAGAGTGGTATGTACAATTTTTCATTTCCATAGTGGATTTCTTGGTGTGATTTGGCTCCGCAGTTTTTTTTTTTTTTTTTTTTTATTTCGAGTTTTTTTTTTTTTTTTTTGCTATTTCGAGTTTTTCTGCATTAAATTTTGGTGTTTTTTCATGTTTTTTTTCTTTTTCTTATTTGTTTCATTGCGTGGTTTTACTTCCCAACATCCTAGTATTGAAAAATAATTATATAAGTGAGATATGAGTCTATATCCTTGTAATTGAGGACACTTTTCTCCTTTATTTATTTCCTATTTCTATTCCCATGCATTCTTATGTATATACCTACATATTTTGTAGATCAGGGTAATAGAAATAGTTTCCCTCTAACATATTGTCAAAGCAATGTTGACTATGCCCTAGTCGTCCCTCTCTCTTCCATCGATCTCTTTTCACACAAATCCACCTACATGCACGTTCATTTGCCACTCATTAATCCCAAGCCCACGCCTTATTATTTTTCACTCGGTTCACAACTATGCATTCCCATCTGTGCTCACATAGATTCTATGCACCCATGCTCTCTTGCCTTGTGCTCTATGTTGTGCATGTGCTACTCCGTATAGCAAGCGCACTCGTGTGCTTTGTGCATCACATTTGTATGTATACTACTCGATGTGCTTGCTTATGTTGCTCGTCAATGCTTTGCATGTACACTACACTTGTGTGTGCTCCCTGCTTTTATGAGCGCATGTCACCCTCTTTCATGGATTATTGCAAGCTCTCTTATGACTAGATGCACTCCCTTGGATAGACATTTTATGATGGAGAAGATAGACAATGGTTTAATATCACTATGTTCATCGCCACAGATGACCAACTTGTAGATATCCTCACCTAACAATTATCATGAGCAATATTTCAATTAAAAATTGCCATGCAAATTTGGAATAGACAAGATTAATTCATTCACTTGAGGGGGAGTTTGGAAAGGTCGCCTTCCATCAATGTCACCTTCATTAATTTTGCGTCCATCAGTGTTCTATCATGCGCATCTATCCTTCTCATTCATTATTCCCTTCTTGTCACCTCAATGATCCGTTGGATTATTATTGCTGCCTTATCATTCTGTGGGCTATTGTAATTATTATTCTACTTGCTCATTGTTTTGTGGACTACTGGATTTATTCTTCTTTAATTTTGTATGTTTCATATTAAAAGCTCTCCCAGAATTGTATAAATACTATATAAACGTTGGAATGAAGTACTCAACCAATTCCATCCAATTCTTATCAGGGAAAACATCCATAAATAGCCCATTATGGAACTCACTCAGGCATATTTTGATACTTAATTATTATTTTCAATGGGGATGTGTTATGCCCAGATTGGTCCAGTAGGTCCTTGGCAAGGGGCCGGCCGAGGTGTATAAGAGACGGACTAAGCTTGGTCCGCCCTCTTGAATTGCCACCCATACATGGGTGGGGCCCACTCATGAAATTAAATAGGAAGGGAGGGGGCAGCTACGGCTTAGGAGGCTTAAATGTTTTTTTTTAGGCTTAATTGTTTGCTTTAAATAGGAAGAGAGGATTAGGGTTAGGGTTATGCAAATTATTGTGGTTGTTCTTATTCTTGGAGTTTGGTGTCTTGGGCTCTAGCGGCGTCTAGGGATTGGGAGAGATAGATTCTCCTCTCGAATTGAAGATCAATTGTATCTTTCTATTTTCTTTCGTTTGTTTGATTATTGCTACTGTTTTTCTAGTTTTTCCATTGGTCTTGTGACTCGTTCTCCTTGTTTTGTCAAGATCATTAGGGTTTACTTGGGAACTCCAAATACTTCATAATAGGATGATGCCACTTAAGTAAATGGGTTGACCAATCTGGTTTGATATGATGGGTTAGGCTTATTATTATCACCGTAAATGTTAATCTCCGCTCTCCAGTAATCATTTAAAAGCAAGTTAACTACGAAAATCAAGTGATTAGTTTTAGCTATTTCAGAAAGTTTTTATGTTCACTAACAACCGTATGAATGACTAATTTGAGTTAGTTATCCTTAAATTTTTATAATTTTGACATGAAGTAGTATTTTAGTGATCATATCCTTTTTTCACAACTTTCTTCTTTGGTAGATTGACTGGATGCTTCCATCAATTCACAATAAAAAATGACAGCCTCTTTTATTATATGCCAGTTTTCAACTAATTAATTGTTAGAGACAAGAATATGTTGATAGTAAACATCCATTTGGTTCACTATAAAGGATAAATATTTCAGAAAGGATGGAGAACTGTTTTTAGGTGTTGCAATAACAATTGTTGCTTTAGCGATTCACCAAATGAGCTGTCTAACTTTTATGTATCCTGAGTTCTTAATAGCTTTTCTTAATAAATTTTTATGTTGTAAGTCTTGCTTTTTTCCTGGTGAGGAAACCAACTCTTGCTTTTTAATAGGTTTCATCAGGTGGATAGTCATGATCTGACTGTTGCAGTGAACTTTTGGTGGAAATCTTGTACGATTTCTAACATGGTAGAGCACATGGATGCTTACTATCTTCGTCGAATCTTGAGTAGGTATTATAACTTCTCATACTTCGTATTTAATGTTTCTTTTCTTGGGATCACCTATGTTATATTTAGATATCTTGCAATTCTCTACCTTTCAAACTGTTAAATAATATATTGAAGTTATTATATTTAATTAAGAACTAGCAACCCATGTGCGGTGCATGAGGTTGTTAATTTGTGTGAAAGAATTAAATGAAATTATTGAAAGACCGTGGGATCCACTAGTCAACCAATTTTGATAGGAATTTGTGAGCACACGGATTAATGGTTATAACCATTATATTGATCATGTTATAATCTTTAAATTGCAATTTGTGTGCTTCCCGTTCCTCTTCTACCCGCGAGCTCCTCTTAGGGATTTTTTTTTTATAATTAGTTTCGATTTATTTTCATTTCAAGACATTTGAAAAAGTCTATATATACTTCTACACTTTATACACAATCAACTAATAAAAGTCATAGTAATTCTTTTATATTTCTACTTTTCTACATGGTATTAGAGCCAGAATATTGTTTCATGCTTCCAACCTTTATTCTTTTTTTCTTCTTCTTACTTTTTAGGATTCTTTCTCTCTTCATTATGTTTGATTTCTTCGACTTCCCTTTTAAGAAGTCAAGCATCATGCATAATGAAAATGTGACTAACTGAGAATTCCAAGGGCTACTCGCCTTATATTGCTTGCATGAAAGAAGCTACTTTAAATGGTTTCAAATTGTGGATCCTCCTTTGGAGTTGAAGGAACCAAAGCTTGTGCTTTGGGATGAAGTTGATTTCATAATCATTACATGACTGTGAAATACTATGATGCTTGAAATTAGTTGGTTATTTGTCTTGTCTACTGCAAAGAAATTTGAAATGTCATCCAACAAACATACTTTACAGTGAATGGTGTTGCACTTATCTACGAGAGCAAAACTAAGATCTCAACAACTAAGCAAGGTAATATTTTTATTATTGAATATTTTAATGCGATGAAGGTTTATTGGCTTGAATTAGACTATTACCAAGATCTCAAGATGAGATGTTGCAATGATGAGATTATTTAAAAAAAAAAGTGGAAAGAGTAGTGTTTGAGTTCCTTGCAGTACTTAATAATGGCTTCGACTAAATTTGTGTTCATATTTTAAGCATAGAAAATTTGCCATCATTAAATGGGGTTTTCTCTCTTATAAGAGCTGAAGAAAGATGGTAATGCTCGATGCTCCGGCCTTCGAAATATCTGCCATGACAACCATCAAACTCCAAAATAAGTGACTTACTACAAACTTTTCCCACAACTAAACTATTTTATTTTGTATGATTAAGATTAAAATCAGCAAATTATATGAATAAAATAAAAGGTTGGGATTTCATATGGTAAAGTCACAATCCACTTTTATAATAGTGGTATAGATTTATTATCCAATTTTATTTTATTATGATTATATACATTTTTTTTTTCAATTTTGCTATTAGATTTCTCTCAACACAACAATGACGACGGTCACAACAACAACAACAAGCCATTATCCTACTACCTGTGGTCGACTATATGAATCATTTTTCTCCATTATGTCCTATTAAGAGTCAAACTCTCATTTAATTCTTATGAGAGAAACTCATTTCTAATATTTTCTAACCGTTACTTTTTAGGTCTATCTTAACATAGGACAAATCTAATTCATATTATTAGATTTTTTTCTCGCACCAAAATGTATTAAAGAAAGATATTAAATAAAATGCTAGATAATTTTTACGCAAATATATATATATATATATACACACACATATGGGCAGATTGGGTTTCTTGATGATATTGCTATTGAGTCTCTTAGCTTGACATTAACTTCTACATTTAGTACTGATGCAGGGGTGAAGGATATTAAAATCTCAAATTCACCTGCACTAGAACTTGGCCATAACCTTATTATGCTTGAATTACCACCCCAAAAGCTAGATCCTATGTATTAGGTGTTCTTGTTGGGCAGATTGGCCAACTGTTATTTAGATCACATAGCCAAGAGGAGGATGATTGGCTTGAAACCGAAAAGAAGGTGATTGTCATCCACATGTTTCATCAAATTCTGAAACTTTCATGCTTATGCGACGTGTTGAAAATGTGGATGATGAACTATAAGTGGATGAGAGAATAGAAGAACAACAAGGAAGTCTCTAGTGAAACAATTGAAGATCTGGAGAAAGGTGCAACATGAGGAAGATTAAGTTGAGTCGGCTTTAGGGCTTCGATTTTTTATGTGGTCTTATAGGTCAGGAATCAATTTGATATTAATTAACTCTTAATAGATTAAAAAGATAAATAATTTTTGTTAATTAATTAGGTAAAAAGTTATTTTAACAGGATAAAATTTAGTAATTTGATAATTTAATTTAAGTTATGATACATCTCAAGGCTATTACGCTATTAATAAATCACGCTGAGCATGTGCCCTTTAGACTGAAGAACCTTTCCTCAGACCCCCCAGGGCAAATTTTTCTGCCCTTTACTAGTGTGAGTTCCAACAACACCTTTTAAAACATTGCTCCATACCCCACCTTTCCTGGCTTGTTGGGGAGATGCTAACCCTATAATATGTTCTTTTTACCAGCTTAATTGTGTTGGATGAAGGCTTTGCAAACATTACGAGACAGGCCATGTTGTAAATCCTTCTACCAGCAACCTTTAGTACTACCGTTGCTTCAGTTTTATGATCCTTCCTTTTCCAGATGGCTTCTTAGGACCTGAGTCCCTTGAGGTTTTGGGACTGCAATTCTGGTGCAGTTTGTGGCATGGAAGAAAAGATTATTGGTTCTTTTGACAGTGATCCTAGTAAAAAAAACCATATTAATATATTATTATGCTACTCTTGCTTTTGTCCTCCGACCTGCAACTTGTGGCCATTGTACATTGCTTTTTTCCTCCTACTTCTGTACACAGTATAGCGTGAAATCGGGCATAATTTCTATGCATTAACGTACTATTTAATTTATCGATTTAATGTAGTTCTAGGACTTCCTTGAGTCACCTTGTTACAAATAGACTTATTTTTATATTCATCATAGTGTATTTCTGTTTACTGACTTTTTCCAATTTTCTTTGTTTCATTTTGGATATGCTTGTCACATCATGGATCAATTCAAAAGATTGGTGGACAAAGAAATGGTATTCTTTTTCCAAGTTTAATCATCTTAAACTTTTCTATCTTTTATATTGAAGTTTTCGCTCCCCTGCATTTTTTTTGGAATGCTTTGCTTACACATTAAAAATCTACTCCTTTTACGAGGACAACCTTGCTACTTGTTTTGCTTTCTCCAAACTTAAATTGCTTTATCGGAAATTAACTATTCTTGAAATATTTTCCACTTTATAGCCATATATCATAAATGAAATTGGAATTACAACGGATGTGATTCTATGAAAGTTATTTCTCAGATAAATTGCAATAAAGTCCCCCACATTTTCTAGATAAAAGATGCTTCCCTAGCATAAAGCTTAGTTTTCGTTGGTTCTAGTTTGTGCGGATTATATATAATTGAAATGCTCAAAGGTTCGCTTTGCTTTGTGGACACTTTCGACTCAATGCACCTTTCCACATAGTAACTTGTGATAAAATATAGGCTCATCATTTAAAACAATTTATGGGCATATAATTTGGAATATTGTATTGAATGTGAAGTTTTAAGGAATTGTAATGAAACTGTGAGGTAGCTCCTTTTTGCCCCATTCGTTTTATCTTATCATCATCGTTAATGATTATGCCTCTCTATCAGATTTTGGTTAAATATATATATATATATATAATAGATTAAAAAAATATTTGAGGTGCATGTATCGAGGCGCTTCTCTAATTGAGGCGCACAAGGAGTATCCAGAGGCTTAAGCCTCATTGGTTCAATTGAGGCTTGCACTTTTTTTAAATGAGGCGCATGTTACGAAGCTTTTTGAGGCGCCTCATTTGGAATAGGGATTTAAATTTTTTTTGTGTTTTATATTATTATAATAAATATATTCTATTATACTATCATATCCATGTGATCTGTGACTATGCTAAGGCTCAGGTCCAGATATAGGGAGGCAGTGAGCTAGTCTTATTTGAAGAATGAAATGTTTGAATTCAGTGCAGCTCAAACATGTTACAATACACTTTTTTGGTTGATTTGCATTCATTTATAATTTTAAATTTGAAAGCTATGTTTAAGCTTTCTATTTTAATATATTTTAATTATTTACTTTTTATTAATTATTGAATGTTGGTGGGTTATATTTCGAGATGATGTGTCTAAACTTAAAACATTTGTACTGAAAGTTCTTAGTATTTATTTGTTTAGCTTCTGAATGTGAGCGTAATTGAAGCATATTTAACCAAGTTCATACAAAGTGAAGGAATCAATTGGTTGTAGGATGAATAAACAAGTCATTTTATGTTATGTTTAACACAAAAATGAAGAACAGACATCCCAAATTATAGTGGTAAAAAATTGGTGATAGTGAAATGAATCATTTGGTCATTGATGATATATTATCTAATGATAAATAGATAGTGCAAAAAATTAATGAAATGATTGAAGTTGAAGCTAAAGGAATGATCTTTAATAATGAGGAGAATGAAGACATTACTGCCTACATTCAAAGTGTTATTGAAATGGGAAACTTCTACTTCACAATCATAAAATAAAGAAGCATAGTGAGGTTAGAGCATCGAAAAATCAAAAGATAATTTCAGTATAATGCATTATTTTATTTTGTTATTAAATTTATTGTTTATTTTAGATTATGTCTAATGTAATATTAGCTGTTCTATTGAGGAAGAAAAAATATTTTAATTGAATAAGATTTTGAATATGACAATAAAACAGACTCTGAGGATGATAGTAATGTTACAAATGATGACTCTTATGAAGAATATCAAAGTTAGGATGAGCTGTCATGGATTATGATTCTCGTGGCGTATTTAAATTCTAAGTGAGTGTTTTCTTTTAACCTCCATTTAGACTTGTTATGATAATATTTAATATTGAGATTTATGTTTTATATATTTATGATGATGAATCAAGTAATATGTTTATGGTTTATTTCATTTTTGTCATTTTTATCAATTATTTATAATTTTATGACAAGGCTTACGCCTCTATCTGCCTTGAGGCTTATGCCTCACCACACTAAGGCAAAACATCTTAATTCTTGAGTTCTCCTTTTTAAGCATTGATATGTGTGTATGTATATATATATTTGGGTTGCATTTGTAGCTATGCTAGAGGTCAGTTCAATCCATCCCTCCAATCTTATATTTCTTATAGATTGATGTCAATTTAAAATTGATTTTGAGCAAAATCCAAATAGAGACATTTCAAGTCAAGTTGAACTCAATAATTTCAAGTTTGAGTTGAACAAACTCACTTTAAATTGATTTGTTATCAGCTTTTCTTGGATTTATTTCTAGAAGCAATCACTTCTGCATCATGGCTTGTGTCCAATACTAGGTGAAACTTAGATGATATCAATTGGTTATGTTCATATACCAATGTGATAGCATTTATTTAATGGCATGTCATGCTCACCCTTTTCTATGATGTATTTCAATGAATCATGTATTATGCTGTCATACTTTTTTTTTTGTTTCCAATATACTCCTGGTTTAGAAGAGATTATTTAATAATACGATGATTCTTCTCTTCTTTTGACATAGGACAGAATGACATGTTGAGAAGCTTAGAAGGTTGCTCAAAAGGTGGTAACCATGCCCCAAAAACTGATGTCTTAAAAGGTTAGCCTTATTCACCCTTCTACCTTTAAGGGTTATCTAGAAACCTACACTTGGACTATCCTTCATAATATTTATTATATTGAATCATTGATTGAATGTTGATTTTCTGATCAAGTAAGAGACTATAAAAGGTAATTGTCAAACAAGCTGACATGATAGTATTAAACTTCTACTCATGGCTTTCTTAAGTTGCATCAGCCAAAACATTGGAGTTGTGTTCTTTGAATTGAAAGGTATTGAAAAGATTTGAACCCAGCAAACGGGTATTTGGATGATGATAATGGTTGGTCCTTATAATTTAAGTTGTTGCCTTATATTCAACAGATCAGCTAGTTGATGCCTGTTCTCTTCGAAAAATTTGTTTCCCATGCTTTTTTTCTTGTCATAGTAAGGTTTATACAGGCAGGGTGTGAGTAAGGTTTATATAGGCAGGGTGTGGATCATCAGACCAAGTGTTAGTCCTTTCTCTAATCCAGTCCTACTGGTCAAGAAGAAGGATGGAAGCTCGAGGTTTTGTGTGGATTAGAGGGCGTGAAATAAGGAGACCGTGCCGGATAAGTTTCCCATTATGGTGATCGATGAACTACTAGATGAACTGTATGGAGTAGTGGTGTTCTCCAAGATGGACTTGAAGTTGGGCTACCATCAAATCAGGATGGAGGAAGATGTGTAGAAGGCAGCTTTTAGGATGCACGAGGGGCACTACGAGTTCTTGGTGATGCCATTTGGGCTTACAAAATCCCTTGCCACTTTCCAATCATATTGATGAATCGGGTGTTCAAGCCATACCTACAGAGGTTTGTCTTAGTTTTCTTTGATGACATACTTTTGTATAACAGGAGCGAGGAAGAGCATCTTGAGCATTTAAGTGTGGTTTTTGGAGTTCTACAGGAGCATCAGCTCAGGGCCAACATGAAGAAGTGCAGCTTTGCACAGACCAGTGTGGAGTACTTATGGCACGTGGTATTTCAGGAGTGACAGCTTATTAAACAAAAAATGAAGCAATGCAGAAATTACCTCTGCCTAGGAACCTGAGGAAGTTGAGGGGTTTCCTTGGACTGACTGGGTGCTACCGGAGATTTATGAGGGGTACAGTACCATAGGGTGGCCCTTGACTAAGCAACTGAAGAAGGATAGTTTTTCTGTGGGGAGAGGCAGCGACCTAGGCTTTTGAGAGATTGAAGAAATCCATGACTACAGTCCCAGTTTAGCCCTCCCGGGTTTTAGCCAGGTTTTTGTAGTGGAGACTGATGCGTTCGGATATGGGTTGGGGGTCGTACTCATGTAGAGCCACAGGCCTATAGCATAGCACAGTCAAGTGTTGTCAGCCAGAGCTAGACTGAAGTCGGTGTATGAGAGGGAATTGATGACGATTGTGCTTGCTATACAGAAGTGGCGCCCTTACTTGCTGGGTAGGCATTTCATTGTCAGAACTAATCAGAGAAGCTTGAAATACTTGTTAGAGCAAAAGATGGTGACTGAGGAGCATCAAAGGCGGTTGTCCAAACTGCTAGCCTATGTTTTTGAGATCCAGTACAGGCCAGGTTTGAGAAATAAGGCGGCTGATGCTTTATCAAGATGTGTTGAGGAACTCAAGGGGATGGCGATTTCAGTACCCCTAATGGTAGACTGGGGGGGCTATCAAAGAAGAGAGCAGGCAAAATGAGGAGTTGAGGAAGATTAGAGAGGATTTGATGAGTGATGTAGAACATATATGAAAATTTGATTTAGATAAAGAATTTTGCACGCTCGATGATTAAGAGCAAGTTAATTAAAGCTTGATGTTGATTTAGACAATGAAATAAAACACCAGAGCGATAACAAAAGCTTAGGCCAAGTTACTTGCGAAAAGTAATAACCACATAATAATCAATTGCTTCTAGACATTGCAAACGAAATGGGTTTCAACAAGAAATCCCGAATCTAACAATAAGAGTAGTGCTATGAAAGATCTTTCACACAATTCCTACTAAACACGAAGCTTTAGCGGAGCGTTGCAAGATTTTGCATGAATCAATCAAAACCACAAATAAGGATCAACGAGGAAGGTAAGAGTTCACCCTTTGCTAAGATTCAACCTTCTCGCAAGCTTGGACATCAGTTGGTGGCTTTATGGCAGCGAAACTGGTGATCTCCTCTTGCTGTAATTGATGGAAAGCAAGTTGGAAATCTGGGACAGCAATGGGGAGGTGCAGAATCTTCTGGACAACAGGTTTGCAAGCTCCGGGACCCTGGCCAGCACTTGATCTCCTTCGGGACAGCAACTAGGAGCATCCGGACAGCATCTACGCCAAATCTGGACAGCTGTTTTGGCAATGGGAAATTCTGGACGGCACACAAAATCTGTCCAGAAATCTAGACAGCAACTTGGACTAGGACAATTCAGGATTGCAACTAGGCTCTCTAGATACAAGAAAACTAGATGAGTATTATGGGGAATTCTCTGCCCAGCAGTGGCGGGGAATCTGGAATTAATTTCAGGGCATAGGGAGCATGCCAAATAAGTCACAAACTAATTTGGAGAGAAAGGGGAAAGGGCCGGCTGGTTATGGGAGCATTAATGGGCTGATTGAAGGCTTAATTGGGTGTATTAATTAGATAGGAGAGAGAGGGAGGGGGCCGGCCATGCAAGGGGGGTTTATTGTGAATTTTGGAATTCTTTCCAAACATAAGACTTTAATTAAAGGGAATCTCTAATTAAATTCAGATTTGAAGAGATTTGGGAGTTTCCTAAAATAAATCAATCTCATTAGGAAAGGATTTTAAATTCAATTTAATTGGAATTTGAAATTTGAATTCTTTCCAAAGTTTAAGATGATCTAAATTAGGAAAGTATTTAATTCTTTACCACATGAAAGGTTTTATTTTGGGAAAACATTAATGAGGTGGGAGCTAGGAGGGTCGGCGGCACTTAGGGGAATTGGGGGAATTTTTATGGAAACCTTTAATGCTTCCTTGAGTTAGGGAATTAAATTTAGAAGAGATATTTCATCCCAAATTAATTTAAAACTCAAAGAGGAAGGGATTTGGAAAACTTTCCTTAATTAGGATTGGTATTTTAGGTAACTTTTCAAATTCAAATAAATTTGAATTTATAAAGTAGTTGAATTGCCTAAACTATTCAAACCCAATTAGGAAAGGGGTAATTGCAAGCAATGATGGAGGAAAACCCCGAAGGAGAAGGGGCGGCGGCTTGGGCTTGGGCTCGATTGGGTGAAGGGCGGATGGTTTGGTGGGGGAAGTTGGCTGGCGACGAGGTAGAGTGTGGCTAGGGAATCCGGCGGCTAAGAGGAAAGGGAATTGGATGGGGATGTTGGTGGCTTAGTGGGGAAGGCGGAAGGGAAAGAAGAAGGAACGAAAGAAAGGTACATGAAGAAGAACCACGAACCCTTGCCGTCTCCAAGGTTGTTAGGTGATCCGTTTTCCCTCCTTAGGAATCTCTCCAAAGTTCTCTCCTAGAACTCTCACAACTCAAAGAACACATGTGCAGGAATTTTTTCATAATATTCATTCATTAATCCTCAAAGAAGAAGATGGGGGCTTTAAATAGCCCATACAAGGAGAAAATAAAAAGTACTACAATGCCCCTAGGGCTTACACAAGAATAAGCCCTTAAGTAAGGGCAAAAAAGGAAAAACATAATAAACTTCATAAAATAAAAATAATAATACATCAATCGTAAATATGAAATCATAAGTAGCGTGATGTAATCGTGGCCGTTGATCGACGACCACGCCTTTAGTAGATTTTTCCATGTCTTGATGTCCTCATCAATGAGAGATATGAGTAACCACCCTGGGTACTCACTTGAGGGGGAGAGACTCTTACATCAGGGGAGGTTGGTGATGCCACGAACCTCCATCCACATTCCTCACCTATTGTAGGAGTTCCTTAGGAGCGTAGTGGGAGGCCATTCCGGAGTAGAGAAGACGTTTATAAGATTGGCTGCTGAGTTATACTGGAAGTTGATGCATAAAGATGTAGAGGAGATAGTGGCAATGTGTGAGGTGTGTTAGAGAAATAAGTACATGTCTATGGCTTCAGGAGGGTTACTACAACCATTATTACTTCCAAACAGGGTATGGGAGGAAGTGTCCATGGATTTCATAGATAGCCTACTCCGACATGAGGGGTTCACAGTTATTATGGTGGTGGTTGATAGGATGAGTATGCATATTTCAAATCCTCACGTCAACCCTATATCGATGTGACAATGGCATCAACATTCATCAGGGAGATGGTTAGACTTCATGGGATTTCAGAGTCCGAGACAAGGTGTTCCTCAGCCAGTTTTGGAGGGAGTTGTTCAAGTTGCAAGGCACTCTTCTCAAGAGAAGCACCGCCTACCATCCTCAGATAGATGGACAAACGGAGGTAGTAAACCGGAGTTTAGAGACTTACTTAAGGTGTTTTGCTTCTGAAACACCAAGAATGTGGGCAAAATGGCTAGCATGGGCCGAGTATTGGTACAATACATCGTACCATTCTGCTCTCGGATGACTCCTTTTAAAGTGCTATATGGAAGAGACCCCCACATCTAATGCACTTTGGAAGAGGAAACACACCAGTTTCTTTAGTTGGCAGTATTTAGAAGTAAGGGACAAGGTGTTGGAGTTGAAGAAACATCTATTGAGGGCACAACAAATCATGAAGAAACAGACAGATTCACATAGGAGAGACATACAATTTGAAGTGAGAGAGAAGGTATTCTTAAAATTACGACCTTATAGGCAGAGGACAATTGCTAACAGGAGGAATGAGAAATTGGCCGCGAGGTATTTCGGCCCCTACAAGATCATGGATAAGATCGAAGCGATGGCGTACCGTTTTGATGTGATACTAAATGCGAATACAAGAATTGCAATTTAAGAGATTAATGGTTATGAACGTTGCGTACTACCCAATAAAAACTAGTTTACTCAAGTAGAGGTTTTAGAAAATGGCATGAAAGATAAAGCAATAGCAATAGGTCACAATTGAGATTACGAGAACTTGCAAAATTAATAACCAAGAATTCAGATAAAACAAATAGCCAACTATAACAAAGCCTCACATTTAAAATCTAGATCTTTCACCTCGAGGTCCTTTAATCAACTCTTGAAGGTGGAGGCTAGCGGAAGAGGATCGTAAGCACGCTTAGAGATACCACTATTACACAAGTGATGCCGAGAGGACTATTTGCCGGGGAAGAAGCAGGAGTTGGGGAAGCGGATGGATGGCCGTTGATCATCCACTCGTAGTCCGAAAGTTGCCCGTCGAGGATGTCCACGAGATGGGGGACGATCCGATTCAAATAATCTTCAACGGTGTCGTCAAAATTGAATCCGACGTCGATGTCTCCTTGGGAGTTGAGTACGAGTCCGTGATCAACTTCGGGATCCGCCATGCATCCTCGCCGGAAGTTGAATGAGCACCAAAAAGGAGGAGGAGGGAGAGAGGAGGTGGACGCTTGGAGGTGAGAGGGTTGGGCCGGCTTGGGGTCTTGAAGGAAACGGCTAGGGAGAGGCCACGAAATAAAAACATAAATTTTGAAATTATTTCAGGTTTTAGTGGGTGGGAGGGGGATTAATTTGAAGATTTCAAATTAATTCCAAGAGAGGAGGAGGGGGCGGCAATGGGGAGTTAATGGGGCTGATTTGGTGGGGATTAGGAATTAATTTAGGTGAGAGAGAAGCCCAGTGAAGGGGGCCGGCCACATAGAGAGAGGGAAGAGCATAATTGCCATGTAGAGTGGGGCCCACAACACTCATCAAGGATTTAATTAAAATCTGAATTAAATCTCATATTTTATAAGATAGGAAAGTTTCCTAATAGATGGGCAATCAATTAGGGGAGATTTGAATTGAAATTCAATTAAGATGATTGCCTAAAATCAAGGAGCTATTTTAGGAAAGTCATTTATGGCTCTTGAGAAAATTTGAAATTTCAAATTTGAAATCCTGAGGGAGGTTGGCGGCAAGAGGAGGGGATGGGGCTAAGGAGGAGGGGCAGAGGGCCGGCAGCGGGTGGCTGACAGGGAGCCGGCGGCTTGGGCAGCGGCGGCAAGGGTTTATGGGGAGGGGGAATTTGCTTCAAGGAAAAGAAAAGATTAGCAAAGTGAAGAGGCAAGGATTCACTCACCTGAATCGCTTCCACCCCAAATCTCACAAAGAAATCTTGGAAGGAAAAAAAAAAAAAACTAAGAACTCACTAAGAGATCTTTCTCCTCTAAGGAACTCACTAAGAGATCACCAAGTGGAATAAAATTTTCATTCAATTAATCATCAAAAAAATACATAGCATGAGGCCTCCTTTAAATAGGCCAAAATAAAGTAAAATGCAAATGACACAAATGCCCTTTGGGCTACATAAGTGATTCAATGCCCACAGGGACAAACTAGGAAGAAAGTAAAAAGTGCAAGCATAAATAAAATACAAATAAATCAGAAATATAGGCTCTGGATCGTAGCCATCGATCTGCGTCTCCGACGATGGTACACATGTTGAAATATGTGTCATCATCACGTTTGAAGTTACCCCCATCCGCCACCATATACCCAGTCTTCCATATGTCTCATGCAATTAGTGCAGAGTTACCAGCTATACTGACAGAAGAGTTGAAAGTGGTTTTAGAATCACTGGAGTTGAGAGGGGTAAGATCAGATAAAGATGGAAACAACAAAGTGCTTTTTAGATGGATGGACCTTCCTGAATTCGATGCTATTTGAGAGCCATATGAGAGGGTGAAAGAGTAGTTTCCTTCATTTTACCTTGAGGACAAGGTGGGTCTTTGGGCGGGGGGTAATGTTAAGACGATCCAAGGGGGCGGCTGAACATATTAAACTGATCCCTAGTGGACTGGTTTTGGTTTACAAGAGGAGGAGCCAAAGGGGGGCAGAATCACCGGGGGGGGGGGGCTAAACAGATGGGTCCCACATTTTAATTAAGCATTATATTGGAGGAAAAATTCAAATTAAGGGCTGTTTAGGGATTAAATTTTGTCATTTTGCTTTAATTAGTTTTGCTTTCTAGGGTTAGGGGGATCTTGAATTTGAAATCTGATTTGAGATCTAGGGTTTGTTCTTGTGGGCTCTAGGCTTGGCTAGAGATTTGGAGAGTTGTTTCTTCCTCTCGAATTGAATAACCTTGTATCGTGTGTTGTTCTTCTTCTTCATTTAGTGAAATATACTATTTTCTCCCAGATTTTTCCCGGTTTCTACTGTTTTAACTTAATATTGCTGCAGTGTGGTGACTGTTTTTTTCCCTGAAAACAGTAGTTTTTCTGCTTATGGATGCTTATTTCCTATCAGAATCCTATCACACATCTAGTTTAGTTCAACTATATCAGCTTCCTATGTTAATATATTTTCATTTTTTTAATTGCACTTTCTTATTACTTGATAAATTTTTATCACTTCTTTATATTCTTAAGATATATATTCATTACCACTAATCTATATTGTGTGATATAGTGTATTGTCCATGTTGTGTAAACTTTAAAGTTTAAATATGTTATTGATATATAAAGAGCACTACATTATGTGAGATTCTTGATAGCTGAATTGGGGTGATCAACAATTTTTTCTTTTATCCGGTCCCCTTTTTTTACTCTCCCTTTTTGAAGTTTAAATTGCAAGAAAAAATTATGCAAGAAATTATTTTAGTCTACTATCACTTCATCCCGATCTACTGTTGAAGATGCATTGATTATATCATTTATAAACTATCAGGTGACTCTTATTTTGAGTCAAATGATCCGATTACGCATGCTGAACAGAGCATATTGGCATCAGATCCGCTGGAACCCCATGAACTTAATGTACTTTACCAAATAGTTTCATTGGTTCATGAAAATCTCAGCCCATCAAGTCATGGTGAAGCTTCAGGTTTTACTCCAAAAGTATCAGGCATCAACGTGGATGGAGATCAAAAGAGCAATGCAGCTATGTATTCATCTATAGTGCTAAACAACCCTGTTGCAAGCATACTTTGGGCTGTTGATCCATTAGCACTCCAAAAAGTTATATTATCTATGGTGGTGAGTAAATATTGCTTGGAAATAATGATTTTTCTCTATCTACTCATGCTTTACTATATAATCCATAAATTTCATATGCATTTGCTGTACTTACATTTTGCATCTTGTGGGACAACAAACATAGTAAATGGGTCCTTTTTATTGATGAACTGGTGGTTTGTTATGGCTTTGTATTTGAATTTTGAATTTACCTTGGATCTTCTTAGTTGAATGAATCTCAAGACTAATCAAGGTTGTCTCGTTGTATTTAGATTTTAAGAAATATTAACACCTAAGTACACTGCAAGCACTTTGGCTAATATCATCAAATATATATAATTTTTATCTCACATTCATCTTAATATTTTCATTGATGTAAAATTCTACTTTGCTGAGTAATTTTTTTAATCTCCAAGCATTCAATTCCATACTCGATCTATTATTGCGGCCTTGAGGGTCTAATTGCATTTTTATAAAATTTAACTTTAGATCTCCATATTATTGTATGGTAATACTCCTGAAACATTTATTTGTTTTAGCCATTCTCCTGATGTTCTATATATCTCCATCTAATCTAATCCCCAATCTCTTATATAATATGCCCAATATAAAGGGATCACATCTAAGTATAATTTGATATTCCAATTCAATTCTTCAAAAATTGCATATGATATACTTGGTCATTCTTCTAATTTTATATTCAATAAAAGTGATTCTTTTAAAGTTATGGTGGCCTGGTTATGATATTTTTACGTGTAGTAACAACAATGAGATCGTGTAATGATTTTGCCCAAAAATTTTGGGTTCCTTGTATGTTTGTTCTTAAACTTCAGAATCGGTTCCCAAGAACATTGGAAGCTCTTATCATACACATGCTTTCGCCAACAGCAGCTGAAGTTCTTACAAGGAAGTTTGATGAAATGGATAAGGAAACCACCAAGGAACAACAGTAAGCGCAAATCTTACAATTGAACGTTTTTACAAATAGCAAATACAGATTGGAAATTAACCTTTTCATTTCATGGCCATCAGGAGTGAGTTTTACCAGCAATTCTATAGTGTTTTTGATGATCAATACGCTGCAATGGATTCAATTCTTCATGGAAAAGAATTCTTCTCTTTCCAGGTGGGTTACTGTCTTCTCAAATTCTCTTCTACTCTCTTTTAGGATAGATTATTAGTTGCACCTTAGTCTACTGGAGAACCATAAGGAAGGCTTATAGGAGAATGACAAGTATCCTAAGAAATATCACACAGTAATAATATACACTTATATACAGTAATATACAAATCTACAACTCGAGTTTCGTGGACATAGTAATACACAACTATGTACATTATACTGTAATATACAAACTTTGTACAAGAGTTTACAAGTGTATATAACTGTACAATTTTCCTGTACACAGCTGTGAATCGTTGTGACAGTTGTCTGCAGGAATGTTACATGCAACTATGCAAGGTTCTAAAAATTGGACCGGACCGGCCGGTTCAACAAGGGAATAGGTTGGTGGCCGGTCTGGCTATTTAATGTAACCGATTGTGGATTAGACCAAGGAAAAACTGGGCGGTTCTTTGGTCAGCCGGTGAATCGCCGAACCGCCCCAATTTTAAACGAGCCGCCTATCGAAGTTTCATAAATCACAACCGTTTGTTTAAGATCGAACTACTGAAATGAGATAGGAAATATAATTAAATGCGTACCCTAAGAGCCAAAAGTCACGAAACAGTGAAATGCATCCTCTCTGGCTCTCCCACACACGAAATCGTGAAGGTCTCTGGCTCTCCGTCCTCAACATTACAAAGTGTTGTCGGCTTGCCACTTGACTGTTGAAGGCCCGAAGAGCTAAAATAAAAAAATAAAAAAATAATAATAAAAAAGAAGGCCCGAAGAGCTGAAGGTAGGCTGCATTCTTCTCTTTTTTCCATTCTTTTCTGTTTTTATTTTGTGCTGTTCGTGCGTCTGTGGCACTGCTTCTCCCCCAATGTTTTTTTTTTTTTCTTGTGAGAAAGCTTGTAAATGCTTCATGATTTTTTTTTTGCCATTATGTATTGCAGTAGTTTGGTCCTTTGGACAAATGAAATTAAAAAAAAATCAGAAACTGTGTTTGATAAATTTGAGTCAGTTCATGTTTGATAAATCTGAGAAACTGTTTGCCATTTTTTTAAGTTGCAGAAAAAACTTTAATTATAGTGTACAGTTTACAGTTTACTACAGAGTTCATGTTATGTTGTATTGCTTCATGGTTTTTTTCTCAATCAGTTCATGTTTGATAAATCTGAGAACTTTAGTTGCTGCAAACAGTTGGATTATTGAATCCAAGAGATGGTGTGATGATTTTGATGATTATTTTTAAAATAAAATTAGTATTTATTATGTCATCTGGTTTAACGTCATTTCAACCGGTCGAACTGTGAGTCTCTCCTTCTGGTTCGTTATCCGGTTCGATTTTTACAACCATGGTTTACATGTTTGATTTTTATTGTTGACTGTAGTGGGATAAAGGCTTGATGTTGTTGTTGTTGTATGTCTCCAAAAGGATGTTGCTCGTGGGGTTAGGATGCAAAAAGTACGATCCCATATGATAAAACAGTCATAGATCTTTACACTCTACGCAATCAGGCCAATGAAAGACCAAATGGAATTATGCGTACGATTATCCATTGAAAATAGCGGTTTTCACCTACACATTTCGATGAATAATGATATGCATAACTCGATAATCACGAGATTTCTCCCATTTGATACATAAGCTCTAATGGGATCTATTTGATGTGGGTATCGGTCTCCCTACGGGCGCAAGCCTCGTGATTAATTACATCTTAGGCCTCAACCTAAGAATATTCTCGATTAGGAATGCTATTTTATCCTCTTCTTGGTTTGGTGCATAGTGAAATTCCCTGGCTCTTCTAATCCAAAGGAGATAAGCTCAACGGGCTATTCAACTTACAAAGATCATACACTCATTTAGTTGTTATAAGGAAAAGAAATCATGAGAAAATCATATACCAAGCATGCAAGAGAGAGATGAAGAGCGCCATCAATGTGGAGTAGATGAGTGAGATTTATAGCCTTCTAAGAATGGAGAACCATCCAACGATAAGGCATACTAAGAATGGAGAACCATCCAACGATAAGGCATACAATGATTACTCATAATGCAAGTCTTTTGGTCATAGATCTATAAGGGACATACCACTCTCAAGATACTAACGCCCCCGATCTAACTAATGCAATACAACGAGTGGACTTATAACCTAAACCCCACTAGGGATCTAATAAGCAGCCTTGACTGGGCTTGTTTGAACAAATGCCAGGAGATGGCCTATGCTGACCTGTTCTTCGTCTGAGCAAAAATGCACGCCTCAACCCGAATAGAAGCCCGCCATTTCTCATCTCTTGCCTCAGTCGCTCAAGACCTGCAAATAGGGCCTGCTCGTCCCCTGTTACAATTGCTGGAGATCGCAAATATCAAGCAAAAGCCCTGGGTCGGTTGCCAGTTTGATTTCAACCCTCTAATTTGATTTTCTTGATATGGCAAGTGGTTTGAATTAGTCAAAGTCAATTGGAGTTTAACCTTGATTAATTGAGTTGGTCATGTTTGAAATTTGGGTCTGAATCGAGCTTAATTCGACCCTATTTGAATCGATTCGGGTTCAATTCGATCCAATTGAATCAATTTAAGTCAAATCAGGTTCGATGAGATTCAAATTTTATCAAATTGAATTAGCATCAATTTGAGTCAAATCAGGTTCAACAAGGTTTAATTTGACAAATCATACACACTCGATGCCAAATGCGCGAAAAATGATATCAACATTGACAAGTGTGTATAATTATATATAATTTTTTCTGTGCTTTATTATGTATTGTGTACAATCACATATATGAAATTTAGTTGCCTTATAAGTTTTGTATATTACTGTATACAAGCATACATTGTTCTGTACAATTTTCTAGGGCACTCAACATTCTCCTGTAAGCATTACGCAAGATGCTTTAGTGTGTTATCCACTTCATATAACTTCTCCAATTATAGAGGCCTAGCTCACTTGAGTTACATGTGCACTTTATTGCTATCCATAGGCAGGATGGTTTTTGTGTTGAGGGCCATCAGTACTGGGGGAACTAAGAGTCCATTTTGTAGTAATTTTGGTGCGGCTTTGCTTTACATAGAAAAACCCCATTTATGTTTGGCTATAATTTTCATACTGTTTTTTTTTTTAAATTTCTATTGTAAGAAATAACCTGTAGTAACCAAGCCTATGAGATTTTGATGGTTGTAAAAAAGTTATTATTTAAGTTCTTCAATATATATATATGCAACCTAATATTTTGAGTAGATGATAGTGCTCACCCCTAAATTGTGGGGAAAATATTTATAACATATACAGTCACATGAAAAAGATTAGATTTAAATAGTCATATTAGAAATGATCTTTCTTTATTAGATTTAAATGAGAATTTGACTTTTAACAGGACACAATGGAGAAAAATGATTCATATAGCCTACCCCACGTAGTGGGACAAAGGCTTGATGTTATTGTTGTTGTTGTATACAGTATAGGGTATTCCTAAACTCTAGATGTGGGGGAATTATTGGGTTCAGACACCGGACGTCGTTCGGAGCCAATAAAAATGTGCCACATCACCCTCTTGTCAGTACTAAACTCGATAATGAGTAGTACCGAGCTCAGTACCGTTCGGTAAGCTGTGTCCAGTGTACGAGCCCAATAATGATGTGAGGGCCACCTATGCCTCTCTATAGTTCCTCCACTGGTAGGAGGGTAGGGTCATTCTGTTGGGAGCAACTTATTCCACTATTGTTGAAGATTTATCTTTCAAGCTTAGTCTGCCGGTCTTATGCTTCGTATGGGGGATTCTTTTAGCTGATTTTCGTTACAACATTTTGGCATATATGAAGTTTTATTCATAGCTAAAAAAAATATGCGAAGTAAAGGTTATTTTCAACTCCATTGTAAAGCCATCATTTCATACATGTTTAGTACACTAAACAAGTCGATATTGCAATGCAGGCATTTTGTAACGTGCTTGATAAGTACCTGGGCGTATCTGTTGATGAAAATCGGACGTATCATCAGAAGGCACAGCTTAGATCTGACCGTTCAGGTAATTAATCAACCTGATATCGCACACGATGCTCAAAATAATAACAATTAGAAAAAAAGGAGAGCAGAATGATGAGCTTATAAATTTTTCTTGTAGAAATCTATAACATAGATGTAGCGGGCCATGACATTTCTATATAAATTTCTTCCTTAGTACTATGGCCCGTCTGTCGAGGCTCCTGTTTCCATTTACACCACAGCTAAAATATTTTTGTGATATATATATATATATATATATATATATGTGGCTTATGTACCGGTTTCTTGTTATGGAAGAGAAGATTCCAATTCAAATTTCTTTGATAAATGATAAAGAAGGATGAAGAATTAGTTTATCATAAATAATACTTGTAACAATTATGCATCTAAATTTTTGAATCTGAACAAATTGGCTCATGAGCTTATTATCAATTCAATTGGAGTTGGCTATGATTTAAGAGTTGAGATATTAACTATCAATCACCAAAACAATCATTTAGTTCAGTTTTATTTTCAAAATCACAAGTAATTATACATGAGCATTATAATTTTAAATAATTAATAAATTATAATAGCTAATTCAATGTTAAACTAGGGGTAGCTTCATGCATGCAACTCAAAGTTTGATTATTTATAAAATCAGCATCCTACAACTTGTTCCGATCAAAATCAACGCTTTTTTTTTTTTTGGGCCAACGCATGCATAAAATGAATTCATTTTAATTGAACTTGTTAGATTTGCATTTGATGGAAGATTTGTAATTCTCCATAGAAACAAAATCATAAAGGCATTAACATTTCACAGGTGGCTAATGATTCAGCAGCTTCAAAAGAGTCCCAAATAATAATAATAAAAAAAAGTTTGAAATGATAGAATCTATAAATATTAACCTTTATTAAACTCTGATTGTCTTTACACCAACTTATCCGTAGGATTCCAGAACAGGAAAAGGGAGGGGCGACATTTAACACATCGGAGGAAAGAAAACTTATTTGTTATTTACACAAAAGCAAATGAAAGAAATTTTCCAACTCTTTTTAACATCAACTTAAGAATGTATCCAAAGATTTTGATCGGGAGCCATAACACTCATATGATAACTCACGCAGCATGTTCACCATCAGATATATCCTGATGAAAATATTCAACGTTTAAGAAGACAATATTCAATGGTATAACCTAAATAGATTTCATTATTTCATAAATATTAACAACCTACACTTGTTTAGTATTTATGTCAAAATATATTGGATATTAATTATGACTTCGCTTGGAACGGCTTTCTTATTCTTATTGCTTTTTAAAACAATTTTTTAGTATAAAATTTAAAAATTTTGTAATAGAAAGCTGCTTTTAAAAGCAGTAAGAAAGACATCCCAAATGAAGCCTAATTCTTTGTTTAGGATAATTTTATTATTATTTTCTAAAATAACTTTTTAAAATAGGAAGAAAGCTAACCTAACCTAAGCCTAACATTTGAGGGATGGAATAGACAACATTAAGACCATAATGAGTTTCTATAAATTTAAAGCTCGTCTAAAAGACTTCAATTCCATTATATTTTGGAACATAAATGTTAATTTTTTATAGTGAAAAAGATTGATATAATCAAAGATTCTAAACGATTAATGCTATCATTACTTAAATGTTATTTTCTTTTTCCAATACAAAGAAAATGATTTTCTAGAAATTAATTTACTAAGCAATACTCACAATTGGAGGAATGTCCACGGGAAACAAATTAATAGCATCTGTGTTGAAGGCAAAACTATAAGAAATACAAGAAAAAAATGTCAGTCATTTTGAAGAAATCCAACTATAAGAAATACAAAAAAAATTTAAATAACAGGTGAAATAAAATACATGAAATAACTACAATAATTTCCACTAATTTTGTATGCCTAATTTAATAGTAAGGATCCATAGATAAATACTAAGTATTTGTTTTCTTTCTACAGCACAATGTCATAAATAACCTGATAAGGCCATGGCCTTGAAAAGCTCTAAAAAGTTTACTTTAGTGGCGTAGCAATAAGAGCATAAAAACATCAGATTACAGAAAATGTTCAACAACTAGGGATCAATCAAAAAATATTACAGTTGAGCATAGTGAACCAGGAGCAAGTTAAAAGCCTTAAGATTGAGAATTTTATTTATATTTTCTACTTAATATTATGTGTATGAAAGCTTTATATGGTACTGTAATTGTATGTGTGTGAGACCTATTATTTCTATTGTGGATCTTTATTTGTTAAATGGCTAGTATAAGTCTCTTAATTGATTTAATTAAGTGGCACATATATGGAGTGAGTGACCAGCTAAGCAAAGAGCTTGGGAGCAGTGTAATGACCAGCCAAGCATGGAGGGAGGGAGTAGTTATGGCAGTTACTAGTATGGGCCACCCCTTCTTCTTTCCCACTTCTTTTCAAATTTAATTTTCACCCGTTGTAGCTTATATTTAAACATCATTTGACATGGAATGAAATGCTTAAACATTTTGTGATTGAAGGTGGAGTGAATTCCAAGTGGTGGCCTAAAATGGTGGTTGGCCATAGAAGAGGGGTTTGGTGATCTCTCTCATCTCATCATCTTCGATGAGTTGATTGGTTTCATATTTATGTGTTTTGCAAAAATCTTTTGTCGCAATTTTGTTTGGCTTTATCTCTACTCTGTTCTAAAAATATTTCCTCAAAAAAATTCACACTTGGCCACTTATAGTGGTCGGCCAAGTATGAGCTGAAATCAGACCTAGTGTTGTTCCAATTGGGATTTAGTGGCCTTAAACCCTTCTGAAAATTATGGGAAACTACAAAAACATATCTTAAGACATCTCTCTATCATTCTCTAACCAGTTCCCCAATTTTATATGAGTCTAAACCCAGCCACTGAAAACCTAAACCCTAATTAGTCAAATCGATCATACTAGGATTTTTCTAGACCCAGTCACTTATAAAATTTCAAAAAAAATTATGTAGACATCTTAAAAAATTATGAAAACTTCCAAAGAGATGGCAAACCACGAAAATTCGAAGCCTTGAGATCAGCAAAACATGCCTCAAAAGACTTATCAGACAAGGCATCAACAAAGGAACGTGTTTTAGTCCAACCCTCCAAAAAATCATGGTCTACCCAAGTTTTTACCGCCATACCAGCCGACGAAACAGAAAAAAAAATGAAAGATTCAGCAAGCTTCGAAGACGGAACTTCACTGAACATGAAAGATGCCAAAATGCTGCAAACGGAGGCACGATTTGCCGAGAGACGAACAACGCCTGAGAGAACCAAGTTGCGGAAGATTCAAAACTTCGCCGGAGAAATGCTAGGGCTTTTCCCTAGCGGAAAGTTGCGGAAAAAGAGAATAAGAACCATCTCTTTGGATTTTGGAGGAGGTGCTCACCCTTGAGGCTCCTTTGAAGTTTGCTTTGGTTGGCTTCTTTCCCTCCAAGCATCCGAGTCTTGACGCTATTCGGAAGTTTTTCTTTGCTCTTAAGCTCAATGGCAAGTTTTCGGTAACTTTGTTGGATCATTGTCATGTATTGATTAAGTTGGTGAATGGCCTAGACTATAGTAGAGTTTTCTCTCATAGATCATATTTTGTTAGCAATTGTTATATGAAGGTGACCAAATGGTCTCCTCTTCTTGATATTGATGTGGGATCACCCGCAATACCTATCTGGATTTCATTCCCCAACTTGAGGCCGCATTTTTTCGCCCCGTATTCTTCACGGATTGGGTACCTTATTTGGTTGTCCGCTAAAGGTGGACCATGCAACCTCTGTTGGCTCCCATCCCTCTATGACACGTGTTTTAGTAGAGCTTGACATCACTAAAAAATATTCTGATAAAGTTTGGATTGGTCCTAAAAAGTGTGGTTATGTTCAGCATGTTGTCATGGAGGAGTTTCCCCATTTTTATGTGCAATGTAAATTGATTGGTCATTTGCCCGGTGAATGTCGTTCTTCTAATCTGATGATTAATTTGGTTAATAATAATATTTATGGTGAGAAGTTTAATACCGCGGGAGAAAACGTGTTTGTTGGCGGTCCTGTGGAAATTTTTATTCCCCCAGTAGCTCCTATTAGTAATATTGAGGTTGTGGTTAATGGGGAGATTGGTATGGATGATGCTTTAGCTATGGAAACGAGCAATGGTAGCACTGAGGATGCTGCTCTTGGTGAAGGGTTACCCTTCTCGTCATTTGATGCTTTACCGAGGGCTCTTTCTTGTTGTATTAATAAGGGTGTGGTTGAGGCTTATGAGCCTAACAATTGCTTAGTCAATTTAGAAGAAAGTCCTATTGTCAATCATGATTCTGATGATGATGGCTGTGATGGTGTTGTTGCGGTTGTTGATGATTTTGTCCCTCACAGGTCGGGGGATCGTGTGGCTGATCCAGAGTTGAGCCCTTTGGTAGGTGCATTGTCTGAGGGGCCTATTGTAATTGGGGATGTTGTAAAACTATAAGGTTTAGCTGCTAGATGTATGGAATCTCCTGCGACTTTGTTGGAACCGTCGAATAAGCTTTTGGTTGATGTCCTAGTTTCTCTAATTTCTAATGAGGTCTTGAGAGTTCAATTAGCAAGTGTGGTGCAAAATGACTGGCTTGAGGAGTCTGTCTCCTCATCTCGCGGGGGAGTTGGGGAAGACTTCCTTGAGTATGAAGATGATGTTCAGGCTATGTTTATCTTGAAGGATAATTGGAGTGGTGAAAAATACTTTTATTTGAGGGGTGGCAAACGAGCCGACCCCCATGTAGTGGGATCAAGGCTTGATGTTGTTGTTGTTGAGGGGTGACAAACGTGGAAGAAGAAACTCTAGAAGGAAGTAATTTGTATTATTGTTGTATCTTTGGATGATTAGTCTCTTATAGCTGAGTTGTTTGGTTGGTGGATAGACTTTTTTGATCTTCTAATGTGTGCGGGTCTGCTGCTATCTACCTGGCTATCTTGCTGGTGGATTCTCTCTTGTTTTCCTCCTTGGCAGCCTTTGTTCTTGGTTAGCTATTTTGGTTTATTTTGTTGTGTTTGGCTTGTTGTTCTTGGTTCTCTTTCTTGTGCTTTATCTTGTAATAGATTAGATCAACGTCCCATAGATTTTGCTTATAGTGATGTATTTTTAGGGGAATATTGATTCATTAAGGACTTGTATTTTGTTTTTTTCTTAACGTGTAGGCCACTTTGTGTGGGTTTTATCAAAAAAATAAAAAAGGAGTAAATGAGCTAACTTGAGTGTCTATTTAGAGCATTAAGCAAACGAACAATAATATTTTGATTGTGTTTGGCTTTTTAACTTATCAAGCAAAAAATATTCAAGAACATGAAGTCTACTTCAATGCCATAAATTATACAATACACATATCACGACGTAAATGTACATATATCCATACAAATATAAATATATAAATATGAATATGCAAAATCTATATATATATACACATGCAGGCATAAACATACACACACATGCATGTGCGTACTTTTATATGTATATAAGTATAATAATCAAGCTACTTTCAAGTCGAACATGATCAAACAAAGCCTTGTTCATATTTAGCTCATTAAATACACAAGATAATGAAAATTAATCAATTTTGAGCTGCCTATCAAGCTGAATATAAACGAGCTTTTTTTTTGGCTATATTTGTGGAATAAAAAAATCAGCCATTTTCATGCTTTGATCTTCATCCATAATTAGTGGATAATATTGTAAAAAAAAAAATTACCTGTGGCCCAATATTAACCGCCATACATATGGAATGAAGAACTCCTCGGGGTGACTCTCTTGCTCGTAAGTAAAGCGTAGTTGAGTAAAAATCTGCGATGTTTCAACATCAAATTAAACGATCATCAAGATTACTTACATAATGAGAACCATCAGATAAGAACAAAATACTTGTTCTTATAATTAAACGAAAAGCATCTTGAAATCAACATGAAACTCCCGAGCTTAAACAAACCTTCATCCCTTCACCACGCCATGATCGGCAATTTATGATGATAACTGAAAGGACTCTTTCCACAGACCACTCACCATTCATTTGCTGCATATCCATGCGACTGTTAAAGAAATCTAGTACCTTCCAATCAAAAGTATTGAAACAATGAGCAACTGAACTCATGCAAAAAACCTAAATGGAACAGTGAAAGTATGTTATGATCATTAACGAAATTATTGAGAAAATATAGCATACCGTGAACACATTTTCAAGCAATTCAAGGAATCTCGGGTGACTTTTGAAGGGCTGAAACACTTCTTGTCTGTGCATTATAGCATACACAACCTGTAATAAGCATAGAGATGAAAAAATAAGTTTTATGGCACCCAAAATAACTGAAATGGCAAAGACTGTTGCTGAAAAGCATACCTCTGGATTTTGTGGCAAAGCATATATAAGAATGGCATTCAAAATTTCCAGCACAATTCGAAGAAATTCAGCATAAATATGAAGATCTGTTGACTAGAATTAATTTGAAACTCCACTCAATATAGTAAATAAGATTTTAAAAATACAGCAGCAAAAAATTGTCATATGGATCAAATATATTAGAGAATAACATAAAATAACGCAAAATTACCATATCCTCGGCTATGATTCCTCCTCCAACTTGGACGGTAGAAACATTGAGATTTTTGTTATTCTTTAATTCAGCTAATTTTGTATACCTAAAATATTATAGGGAATCAAAGCCTCTTAGACAATTTCACTGCAGCATCGCATGAAATCTCAATGAAATCATCCAACTAAAAGTAAATTTTCTAGCGAAGGGATAAATAGAGAAAAGGCAAATAGCACGTACTTCCGTGACAGCATGTCAAAAAGGCTAACAAGCCTCTGGGATGCATACGAGGATAATCTGAGCACATGAGGAGCCATATTTGCCAAAATAGCCAAACAGTTCGTATGAAGATAGACATCCTGACAAGAACTTTAAAGATTGTAATTTTAAATAAATGACTTTTGTTTTTAAATTGAGCTATACAAAAATTTAATGAAAAAAATCAAATTGCATGCACAACACAATGTATGCTAATAGAGTTTGCGGCAAATTGCCAATCAAACATTGGATGTTACCTAAGTTGAATTAATTTTAACAACTTTTTTTATTTTATATTAGTTTATCTTCGCATAAAAATGGCTATAATGATGATCCCCATAGAAAAAGAATTGCATTATAATACGTCCATGTTGGCTCGTTTCAGGTTCCTGAGCTGATTTGGGTCAAGAAACAGCCCAATGCCTGCAGTTCCCGGTTCAGTCCTTCATTATTATTTTGTCAGAAGTGGTTCTACTGCTGTTTGACCCATGACTCACGGCGAGATGATTTATATATTTGTTCTGTTGATTCCTGTTGTTGTACTGAGATTGCCCTAAAAGCTTGGTTACGCATTTAGTGTGTAAGCTGGTTTGTTTGCCTTTGGGTAGCTGTTGCCCGCAAAACTTGTTTACTGTTTGGTGAATTTGGGCTTATATATGGCTAATTTTAATTGTCATCTGTGCCTTCACATTGGGCTGATTGCTTGCCATTTGGTTCATAGGTTTGTCATGGGCCTTGACTTGGCTTATGCTGGTGACTAGCTCTGATACATGAAGTGGGCTGATTAGGAATACTTGTTGATGTGCACTGCAAATTATATCTTTTATACATATAGGTGTGCATATCATCCTAGTTGACATTATGAAACTCTAAATCCTCAGACGTAAGTAAAATTATCAACAATCAAAATCTTATAAATAATCATATAGCACACATAAGATCAGAGAAGAAGAAACAAAGTTAATCAGAAGTTCAAAATTAAAAGGAAGGGAATATTAAGGAAAAGGGTGAAGCCTTAACTCAGCCAAGACTTGTTACAAATAAGCAAACTAAAATTCAAAGCGAATGCAATTGACAACAGTAATAAAAGGGTCGAAGAATTACATATTCCGAAGTTGTTTGAAATAAGCTAACAAAAATTTATACTGAATGCCATTGAAAACATGAATAATAATGATGATTGATTGCAAAAAGGGAATAAGGGCAGCCATGAAAAGGCTGATGATGAGGATAAAGATTATGATGAGTTCATCTAATATTTACCTGCACTCCAGCCTAACCTATCAAGTGTTTTAGTGCTCGTTTGAACAATGAAAATTTAAAAAACATGCAAATTCCACAAGTTTTTAGATTCATGAAGTAAAAATATTTGCAGACATGAATGATTAAAACTATGTTACCAGCATACTCTCATATGCACCAATCATTTGGATAGTTAAACTCTACCTTCATCGTATTACCTAATACATTTGCATGACATCAAGTAACTTGAGTGTTCGAGTTAACAAACCAGCGTTTTGCATCAATATATTAGTAAAACATGAAACGATTAGAAGGAAAAAAAAAAAACAGTAAAGGCATTGTAAGGAGCACAATAACTTATGCTAGAAGTCATGCAAAGTTCTGTTACATGTTGCAAAAAGTTGAATCAATATGAAATACCTTATATTATAACATGCAGCAAAAATTTGTAGTCATCTTACAACAGAGAGGATACAAAGTAGCAGACAAGTGTCAAAATTTTCACTAGAACATCCTCCACTATTAATTATATCAAATGTTAATAATTTAAACAAGCATAGAAATAAGATCCAAAGAACCATCCAAGTTTTGTTCATAATGGCATTTGAAAAAACCTCAAAGTAATAATTCAAACAAAAGTAATAATTAAGAAAAAAATGGTGATTACTGTTCCAACAAGTGTGAGTTTAAGAACCTGGGTGAAGGATGTTTCATAAAAAGAGAAACATTGATGTACAATTATAGAAAAAGGTGCATTATGCATTCTGAAATTCATCAAGAAAATATTGCAAAAGGTGGCAAGAGTTACCCTTAGCTTGGAGAGATTGTACTTAACAGTTCTTATGAGAATTAAAACCATCAAAGATCCAAGAGATGTATGATGCACTAAGCGTTCTTCATACCACGGCACACTAGGAAGTATCTGAAAGTAAGAAAAAAATTAATAGAAGAATGAATTGAGGTCTTAACATTGAAAAGCAACACCTCTTACCAGTTTATGAATGCTGACATTGAAGGAAGAGTCCTGGCTCAGTATGAGAAGAATAATTAATAGCATATAGATCTGATTGGGCGTCCTCTTTGAAGCATTATAAAGTGTTTCCAGTATGGGCAGTAGCTGTCAATGAAATCACCAACTAATAAGAACAATGCTTTTTAATACTTCCATCGACTTGATTTTGCAAGCAAAGCCAGCCTTTACACCAAAAAATTCAAAGAACTAAGAAGAGTAAATGAATGTCCACAAAATTCAGATCCAGCTAAATTGCCTTCCAAAGCCGACTTCTATGGTTACTTGTTTAGCAAGAACAATATTACCATCAGTAATACATCCACACGCCAGAAATCTTTCATTTTGTTGCAGAATTAACATGCATTTAAATCTATATGGAGTAAGAGAGGATTCAGCAAGATCTTATCAAGTCATTAATTTCACAAACAATAAAAAATTCTTACCAGTATATCCAAATCAGTTCGCACCAACATGTATTCTAGAAAAGCGAAGTTCCCATGCACAAAAGAATAGAGTAGCAAGACAGCACTCTCATCAGTCAAAAACCTATCACATAAGAACATACTAAGTACAAATTGACAATTTGTATAGGGAAATCGATTCTAGAAAGCAGGCGATGAAATTACTCATCATTTACTCAGATGTAATGTAAAATTGTTAATAACTTTGCAGATCAAACAACTAAAGCTAGAAATAAAAATAACAGAAGGTACTGTTGATGATAGGAGACCTCTGTGTTTTACTGTGATTACATATTGTGAATAAATGACAAAGCAAATTGATCTTGCTTTCAAATGTTTGTCTCTATGTTGGTTCAATTCATGTATGCATCAGCACAGGGATTAATATGACATGAGTTCATATAGCTTTAGATGATACATTTGTTCATGTTTCAGAGTCTTCACCGTTGCAGCTAATCCACAAGAACTATTAATTCTGTTTTGGAATTTAGCAAGCAATTTTTTTTACTTGCTGTTTAAAATTCAGCATCAGATTTTGAAAGTATCTAAGATATTCTGTTCTTATCTTGTTATTGATTAAGGCTTGGTTTTTGTAGTTATCAGTTATCTTTCTATTTTAAGATGCAGTGTTTGAAATTATCTCAGGAGTCTCTTTTGGTGTGGAAGATGGTTCCAGCACCAGACTTCCCTCCCCTGTTTTTTTTTTTAGTATGTGGAAGAATTAATTGTTGGTTTTTTTAATTTTTATTGCAAGCTTCAAGCAGTGGAATTAAGACAATCTCAGCTGATTGAATTTCTTTGCTGTTTACAGTTCCTATTTTGATGATTGGATATATGAAGTTTGAATTATGGAATGTTGAGTGTTGTTGTCCCCAAAAAAGGCGGTGGTTGCTGCTATATATGTATATATATGGCGGGCTTGGAGAAAATCCAAACACAGCTGCTTCATGAAATTCAAAATTGGATAACCGATCAATCTAAGATTAGACTTTGAAAAAAAAAATTATCTTATCTATTAGCTTAGATTATGAGGAAAATATATAAAATGGATCTCCGACATGTTATTGCCAAAGACATGTAATTGCCAAATTTTAGCTTGAACAGAATTTATGCTTTTCCATTTTAGGGTGAGTTGGACACGGCTGCAGCTGTCGGTAAAGTAGGTTGTGAAATTGTTGTACATAAAGTTGCTTCCTGAAGTTGCTTTATAGACATCATTATATTTTGTTTGGATAGTATAACTTTAGAGCTGTTGTGTTACAACTGTATGAGAACAACTTACCTTCATACCCTTATATATAATGAGATGAAATATTTAATTTTTCAAAATTTAATTTTTTTAAATATATATGATAATCAACTAACAATTCTAAATCAAAATTGCATCCCTTCTTAAGTTGGTACAACTTTTTTTTAAAATATATTAAAGCTGCTAAAAAATTTTATTTTTAATATTGTTTTACAAAATAAATTTTTAATAAAAATATTTGTAAGCCGTACAAAAAATGAAAAAATAAAAATTATAATTACGATTTCAAAAACGACGTAAAAACAAATTTATACATGCCTTAATTTTAATGTTTTTGATAAAATTTGAATAAAATAAATTAATTTTTTTATTTCACTTCTACGGAGTTGACAAATACACCTAAGAATACTTGAAAAATATCTTTTACAAGAAGTTATAATGTGCTCATTGCCAAAGAAAACTTAAGAAAAATTTGAATAAAAATTACTTTAAAAAAAAAATCGCTAGCTGATGCATGCCTACGAAACCATGGCAGCTCAACTTCCAAAACGCAATGTTGGAACTGGAGATGCTTCCCTTAAAGTTATTTGATCTGATCTTCAGCCTTAACCTTTATTGATTTCTTGTCATAACTATGGAGTTCTTGACATCAAAGTGAAGATTATGCTCGACAGGGATCACAAAGGCAAGCAGGGGCCGACCACTCCTTTACCTGATCTGGTTATAATCCAACCACCCAAGGAGGAAGAAGAGTACGGAAGACCTCCATTATTGACTATGCCTATTGAGATTGAAGAACCTGCTTAGATTGATGAAGTGCTTTCCTTTTTCTTTAGACTTTTCAAAACAAGCTTCTATTGTTTTTTCTGCTCTGAATTTTGTTCATGTACTGATGGAACTCTCACAGTTGGATTTCGAACATTTCTTTTCATAAATGAACATGGATTGTATTAAGAAGCTTATTTCGATTTTTTTTTTTTGGTTATAAAAGCTAAATGCCTCAAACCCAAGCTCTTCATGTTCTTTCTTGTTAACCGGATCTCCATCGCTTCGTTCTCTGCAGCTTCGACCAATATATTGCAAGCCCTTGTCGTCGTCTCCACCCAGGCAGATTTTCCTAATCGCCTCTTTTTCCTAAATTATTCTTTCCATCAATTCATCAAAATATTGATCGAGCAATCTTGTGCGAAGAAATGGATGAAGTGCCGAACTTCGTGAGGAAGAAGAAGATATGGGGTATTTCAGAAGGCATTTACGTCTTTCTCTTACCTTCAAACAGCGGAAAGCAGCGAAAAACAGAAGTCTACTTCATGACGGGAAAAGTAGCCGTGGGACGCAAAAAGTTTGAGAACGGGGCACGACCTCGTCACCCCAAACCCCAACTCGGTTGCGTTTCCTGCCGTACAGCAGCGAAAACGGAGTCCCAAACACACCCTTAATCCTATGAGTGAAAGTTAGATGTGTAATTCCTACAACTGTGGTACAAATGTGACTGCTTGACTCCCTGCGTACCAACAAAAAGCCTAATTTCTTGTGATAATTTGTTCCTCAACTATTTATCCTACATAATTAACTAGGCTAGCCCTCCTAATTTTAGTTAAAATGTGATATGTGCCTAATATTATTTTATAAAAATTAATTCATTTATTCCCTGAAAGATTATTATTGTTCAAGTTGTTAGATTAATTGACAAGTGAACAGTGAATCCTCAATATTTTTTATACATAAAAGGATATTGTGCATAATTTTGTAAGGAAATCAAAACCCAAGTAATCATATATTACCCTTAAGTTAATAATAAAAATAATGGTCAGCTATGTAATGTATACAAACAAATGCACGCATGATAGATGCCAAAAAATTTTTTTTTGAATCCTCAACTAAACACGTTCCTTCCAGTGAGGGTGTATGAGGGAATAAGACACCATGAGGGAATAAGAGACCGTGATACTTCTAGAAATGTTTATAGCTAAGATTTTCAAACAAGGTAGCACATGCCAATCTCATAAGCCTAGCTAACAAGAGATAAAAGGAGTTGTTTCACGGGATATTTCAAGAGATAACAGATACCAACTAGAAGATTTAAAAAAAGCACCATCTATTAATTAATAGTTCAGAAGAACGACAAATAAATGCCATGTATTAAGAAAATTATATAAGCTAGTTTTGGATAACTTACAGCCCAAAAGTATCGAATAAGGATGCAAAAGGCAATCTCACAGGAGACTCACCGGGTGCATTGCCCTCAATGTCAGCACGATCAACTACAAGAAAATGAAAAGGCAAAGGCAACATTACCATTGATGTGAGATGAGTATTGACAAGAATAACAACGTTCCTTACATTCAATATCCCTTGCATTGTTTAATGCCTTGGAGTAAGGGTTGTCATAAAAGTAAGATCCTTGTTTCAGGTATGATTCAGAATCAGCAGTCTCAGCATCATTCCTTACCATCGACTCATCCGGTACAACACCCGTTCTATAATGAACAAGAACAAGCAAAACATGCAGACTGATATCCGCTAATGGGCTCCTTGAGCCTTCACCACTTGAGCTGACTAGATAATTGAATGTGTAATAAGGAAGTAGCACAATATTTGCTGCAACAAGAAATGAAAAAACATTATGAGACTACACTACTGAATTTGAATATGATAAAACACTCAAAAAGTCAAGAAATAACATATTATCCACTCCATAACAGGCCCTTCATACTGAACAATTTTAACTAGTTATAACAATTCTTTCATTGAATTCTTTCAGATTTCAAAGACTTGCATCTCAACTCTATTGCATCAGAAAAAGAGGGTCATATTGAACAATAAATTCATTTCCATAACCCTTCTTTAACTTGAACATGCATGAATAAAAAAAATACAAAATTGGACTATAAAAAACTTGTGATTTACCTTGTTGAATTATATGCAATTGTTCGAAGGAACTCATTCTCATACTACCTCCTTAAGATGAATTGTGGAATCATAAATTTCAGAAATTAGTTCATTGATGTGTGTCCATGTATGTGTACTTAAATGTTTAAATTAGTTCGGTTACAACAATGGAATTCAAACTCAGCAAATTTAGAGATTTGCAAAAAAAATGTGGGTAAGGAGGGTATCATGGGAATGTTGAACACGCCACTTTTCTTAGGTGATTGGGTTACGAATAGGGTCAGAAATCATCATCATCAGCAGCAGATTTATCCAAACAATTCAATATCAACTTTAAGAATCATCAATCTTTCTTCTTTCCTAAAAAGTGTTGAATGAGATGTCAAACATATTCAATGCAAATAACTTTGGTCCATACAACATTTGATGTTCACCTGTATCTTCTTAATGATTCAACATTAATGTTATCTACCTATGAGCATCCATCCATTTTAGGAGTGCCCTTTTTACCCATTGTTGCACTTATTTAATTTAAAGTATGCATATAAACATTAAAAGACAATATAAAGGAGATTACCCAGTCATTTTTTTTGGAAGAGGGGAGGTGAAATGAGTGGAAAAAATAATATTAGAACAAGATTACTAAAAACCTACATGAATCCTAAATGAAATCTTCTATTTGGAGCATTTTTAAAGAGTTAACAATGTATACATGAAACTTAAAAAAATAATGTGGAGCATTTTAAACTATTGGATAGGATCCTAACCTAGTCTCTTGCCTGTGAGGAAAGTGCACCCCCCCCCCCCCCCCCGCCCCGTATTATTAACTTTATTTTATGTATTAATTTGAATTTAATTTATTATATTCATTTAATTTCAAATAAATTAAAATAAATAAATCATCTTTTATATTTTATATTTAAAATAATAATAACAATAATATTTAACTCTCTCTCCTCGACACCCATCAAATAACACCCGATTAAAGCACGAATGAGCTCGTTTGATACGTCTCAACGAGCCGGACGTAATGGCATAATCCATTTTGCAAGATGAGGTCCCAATCAAAAGAAATTTAATACAAAACAAACATAAGCATGGAAGGTTCAAATTAGACCTGATCACATATATTTTATAAAAAGAGGTGATATGTGATCAAAACAAATAAATCCTAAGAACGCCAACGAATCGAGGTAAAAAATGCAATTTGACCCTTCATCAAACACAACAATGCAACGTAAAGGAGGATGGGCAAACCCACAAGGTGTGCAATAAGGTCGTGCAAGCGATCGGATGCCAAAAGAAGGTCAACATTTAGATTGAGATCTGATTGAAATCATTTCAAATGAAAATCTAAATCCCATCTTCAATGACAAGATCCATGAATTGGCATAAGTGGTGGGAGAGAGAGAATATGCTCTTTTTATTCATTATCATAAATTTTATATCAACTTATGGATCTTGTCATTGAAGATGAGATTTAGATTTTCACATGAAATTATCTGAATCAGGACCAAGTCTAAATGTTGACATCTTTTTTGGCATTTATCGCTTGCACGTCCTTATTACACACCTTGTGGGTCAATCCATCTTCCTGCGCGTTGCATAATTGTGTTTGATGAAGGGTCAAATTGCACATTTAATTTGATTTGTCGACAGCCTTAGGATTTATTTCTTTTGATTGCATATCACCCCTTCTTAAAATATATGTAATCGGATCGACGCCAATTTGATAAGTATTTTATGTGCATTTGAACCTTTTATGCACATGTTTATTCTGTATTTAAATTTTTTTTATCAGGATCTCATCTCGCAAAACGAATCGCAACGCTACATCCGGCTCTTTGAGATGGATCAAATGAGCCTATTCGTGCTCGAATTGGGTGTCATTTGATTCTTGTCTAGAAAAGATAGTTAAATATTATTGTTATTATTATTTTAAATATAAAATATAAAAAAGGATTTATTTTTTCATTTATGTGAAATTAAATGAAAATAATAAATTAAATTCAAATTAAAACATAAAATAAAATAAAGTTAATAAATACATAAATTTATTAAATAAATAAATAAAAAGATATCTCATCCAAATTATTTTTTTGTTTGGAGCTTTAATACAAACTTATTTTGGCTTTACATTTTCATCCTCTCAAATCAATCAGGTTTAGATCCAATGGTTGATTGCATGCAATGGCTCGATCTAGGCCATTTGATTTAGGGTTTCACTAGATCTCTCATTGAATAACAAAGGGGGCCGGTTCAAGGGGCTATCCACAGTTCACTCCCTAACCACTTAAGCAGTCGCATCTCCCTCTCATGCCTGGGGGGCACTCTTCCTCACAGGCTAGAGGTTAGGGCCGGTTATTAGGATTCATCCACTCTCTACACGCCTCCCTTTTCTCCATCACATGGCTGCTCGCAAATCCAACTCCCTCACGAGTGTGATCCCATTCAGACGGACCTCCCAGTCGAGCCACCCTACGCCAGCGAGGCTAGGGGTGTCAATATTTGACCCAACTCAAAACCCGACCAAAAAAGTTTTGGGTCAACCTATTTGACTGACGGGCAGGGTTCAAGTTTCATTTTTTGATCCATTTATAAAATCAGGTTGTCAGTTGACCCAAAAATCCGAAATCAATCTGGGTTGACACGAAAACCTCACTTGTAGCGCGATCCCGCGCCGCGTCCGAACTCCCCACCCAGACCAGCATAGCGTGCAGGCCACTCTCGCCCCATACTTTGGATGTCATACTCATGCATTTTACACATCTTACTTCACAGTGCACTCTGCTTGCACACATACATTATATCATTGCTGCTCAAGTAAAATGTCAAAGTAGAATGTACCTAGGATGCTTATAAAAGTAAAGATTCAAGATAGAATACATTTAGGATTGAATATAAATTGTAAAGTGCTCATTTATATTTGTATATTTCAATTTTAAAGGTTGTAAAATGTTCAAAGATGTTTGCTTATTTAAATAAATAGTGCTCCAAAAGATAATCCCTCTCCTTTGAAGGGTGCTCTTTTGAAACCCAATAGAAGATTTGGAACCAAGAAAAAAGTAAGCAAATGCATTTAAACTTAAATTCACAAGAGTAGAAATCCAAATATGTTGTGGTGGAGCTTTGTCCCCTTACTTTTCAGTAGACTCCGAGTTATATTTATGCTTCAAATAAATGAATAAAAGATTTTATGTATGCATTTGTTTCATATGACATGCATGACGTTAGTTACATACACTTGCATATTTAAGAGTTTCAATTAAACTTTCTTAATTAAGAAAATCCTTGATTTTTTAGGATAGCACCATCCTATCTTGCATTCATAAAGCGATTGATTATGTTTTGGATGTTAGCTAGCAGCTCACTTCAGGCAAGCATAAGTCTAGATTGTACACCCCTCAATGTGTCCTCTTTAACTCCTGATAAATTATAAATCTATCATTTCTCCTAGGAGTAAATCAATCTTTGATCTTCTAAACTCAAAATTTTAATCAAATCTTCCTATATTTTAAAAATCTAATCCTCATTAAAGATGAAGAGAAGAGTTTATTCCTTTTGAATTAAAAGAACATAGGAATCCTACTATGCATCAAATCAAGAAAAGAATAAAATAGCATCCCTAATCGAGAGTATTCTTGGGCTGAAACCTACGATGTAATTAACCACGAGAGTTTGCGCCCGTGAAAAATAGACACTCACATTAAATAAATCTCACTCAAGCTAATGTATCGAATGAGAGAAATCTCGTGACTATCGAGTCATTTATATTATTATACATCAAGATGTATAGGCAAAAGATATTATTCTCCATTGATAATCATATGTATGATTTTATCTACTTTTAATTAGTCTGTTTGCATAGAGTATAAAAGTTTACAACCGTTTTATCCTACGTGATACGTGATCGTACCATTTGCATTCTAACCCCCGCCTACATTATCCTTTCGGAGATCCACAACTAGCATCAACTATTCCATATCAAACTAGATTAAAACTGAGATCCAACTTTATAAGAAGTGTAACCCTAATCACAGGAGTATTCTTTTGTAGCAAAATGGTAGAAAAGGTAACATAAAATTGGGATCACGAAGCTTATAGTACTTTTCCTTCAAGAATATACAAATGGTCACGACATTAAAGAATGTAACATGTAATTAGAGTTATATTAATATTGTAAGATCCCTGTGGAATGTTTGGTACCAACTGGAATGAATAAAACAGGAGAGACCGAAGCAAAATTTAATTTTACAACTGGAATAAATTAAACATACCAGCTGCAGAGCCAACTCTTTGCAAAACTCCAGATTGGTTTCCATTAGAATGGATGGTATATTGAGAGTTAAAGGGCATTTGCGACCTGTCAATAAAATTCAATAATAGTCTGCGTACTATAGAAGTCGCAATATCACCATCCTGCATAATAAAGCTAAGAATATCAATATCATCATCCTTCATCTATCTATCACTCTCAAAGCAGAAGATGTATCATCCAAGTATCACCTGGCACATTGCTGCATCAAGGAAAGGGTGCACATCTTTTGGCCCTGGACATGGCCCTGAACGAAGTTGAGTGGACATTGCCACCAGAACAAAGTTTAGCACTTCATGATGAAGGGCGTATGAATGTCTACTTGCAACAAAAATGAGACAGCAAATCAGGACAACAGGAAGTTAGTAGAGTACAATTGAAGCATTGCCGATGAAATTTACCTAGCATCAGATTTGCCAATGAAATTAAGCACCCCTTGCATAACAAAATTCTCAATGCTCTGCCCTATATAACAGAAACAAATATGTCAGCCTCCAAGTTCAAGCAATAGGGTCACGGAAATGTATCAGATCAGCCAGAAATGCAAGCACAGAAGCTTTCATTTATGTCCAAATTGTCTCATAGAATATAGACTTAGACCATAAAATGAATGAGACAACCCGAGGGAAACATGGAAGATGAAACTATCCACTGACATATTTTTGCCGAAAACAGCACTGAAAAATAAAATTGGTGTAAAGAATAGAATAAAAAGAAATGAATTACCCGTGCGGAGAACATCCTTCTCCATGTCAATTTCAGGAAGGCTAAGATAAAGTTCTTCAAAAGTAACACTTTTTCCATATTCAATGATATATTTGAGAAATACAGATGATATGTATGCTGCATTGATTGCCTTTGAATGCACAGGGGATCCAGAAGCAGTTGACAATGACTCTTGCAAAGACCACACCATGTGAATCAAGATCTTTGCAAGGTGTCTGGTGTGATAATTATTCTGCACTGCAAGGTAATTAGCAAAGCAACCACATTAACTAGCCGTGACAGGGAATATAAAGTATCTTCTTATAGTAGACTTGAGAAGTCTGGAATAATGGATCCAGCGGTGCAGTGTTTCATTGGTTGATCTTAATAGTGCAGTATTTAAGGAAGCAAATGAAAAATAGAAGAACTTGCAGTTGAAATCACATTTTAACTAGCAAAATTCAATAATTCAGCAAATCTTCCATGTCAATTCTAACTTCAATAAGCATTTGTTTCAACAGACTTAGGCGTATTAATTGTTATGTATCATACAAATCATTGTCAATCATAGCAGATCTCAAAATAACATGCTTTAGAAACATTAACTTCTCCCCAGTTACAAACTTCCTGCAATCATGATAAGCCTAAACAAAAAGTTACTAATACTAACCAATGAATTTACGATGCTGTAAGGGCTCACTTAGGTGCTTGAAGTTATACACAATGTCTGAAAAGAAGAATTCGCTAGATTCTAACATTTGTATGGATGCAGTTAGAAATTAACTTATATTTTAAACTCAACAGAAACCTTCAAAAGCCCTCATAAGTTACTCAAATGAGCCCTAACACAATATATGTTCAATAGCGTCCACTAGAATAAGAAGCTTGCGGATCTAAAAAGAGATCAAATAGCAGACAGAAGAGCAAAAAATAAGTGAGGATGGAAGATGTGGATGATAAATAAGGGCAAAGATAGTAATATAAAGAAGTGCGCAAGGAATGGTGAAATAAGACACTTAGAAAAATGAAGGAGCACAATATATCCAACTACAACGTGGTTGTGCCATGTGGCGCCATAAGAGATGAGCAAGTACTATTACCAATTTACCATATTGAGATATTTGTTTTCATGGTATACAAGGACTACAAATTGCCTACACCAAATTTTATTAAACCGCACGGGAGGAAAGAAAAAATTCAATCAATTTCTAAAATACAAGCCATGCTTTTTAGCATCAAACAGCAAAAACTCAATCATCCATTATATGGCATAATTCATAGGCCTACCACAGGTAAGGACTGCATTGGACCCATCAATGATGTGTTAATATAATTACTTTTAATTTAAGAACCTTGTAGGTTTTGTGCCTGTAAGTTATGAAAATATTACAACAACAATAAGAACAACAACAAAAACATCAAGCCTTTATCCCACTACGTCGGATCAGTTAAATGAATCATTTTTCTCCATGGTGTCCAATTAAAAGTCATTCTCATTTAAATCTAATAAACAAAGATCATTTCTATTACTTTCTAACCAATTTTTTTTAGATCTACCTCTATACTTCTTAACATGGTTCAGATCTAATACACGTATGCTACTAATCAGGACATCAGAAGGCCGACATTTTATGTGACCAAATCATCTAAGGAGACTCTCTCTAATCTTATCTGCCACTATAGCTACTACAAATTTTCACGTATATACTCATTTCACATTTTATCTCTAATTATAATTCCACTCATCCACCTAAGCATCCTCACCTCTACAACTCTCAACTTAATTTTAAGCTTGTCTTTTAATAGCCAAAATTTTAAGCCATAAAGCATTGCAGGTCTCACCACCACCATATAGAATTAGGGGTGCTTTTTTATCACACAACAGCCCCGATGCATTCCTCCACTTCAACCATCCAACTTGAATTCTACTCATAATAGCCCCATCTATTTCACCATCCCTTTGAAAAATGCACCCAAGATATCTAAAATGTGTACTCTTTTTAATAACTTGATCGCCCAAAGTCGCAATCCCTCCACTAGATCTATTACTACTAAAATTACACTCCATCTATTTAGTTTTAGATCTACTCAAATGAAAATCTTCATACTCTAATGTTGACCGCCATAATTCAAGTGTTTCTTCAACTCTCTCTCTAGTCTTATCAACAAGAATGTTATCAACAAAAAGCATACAATAGGCTACATCCTCTTACAAACGTCTAGTAAGAACATCTAAGACTATAACAAAAAGATATGGGCTTAAAGTTGATCATTGATGTAATCCAACTGAAATAGGAAAATATTTGGTCAAACCACCTTGTGTTTGAACACAGGTAACAGCTCTATAAGTTACAAAACCATAGAAAAATTAAAAAAAAAAAAATATAAGGCCAACTAATTTCAAAGATTAAAGCTACCATCAAGTGTGGAGGAAAATCATAAGATATCAACTACTTTGTGCACTTTGGTTCCCTGTAGTGTCACTTTTCTAGTTTCATGATATGTCGCCAGCCCAGGAGGGGTCGGCTGGACCAGTCCAGCCTGGACCGGTCCAAGTGTATTCGAGGTGGGCCCATGCAGGAGGCGGAAAACAGATAGAGAAGGGGGGGCGGGATCTCTAGGTGGACCATGCTTGGCTTAATTCATCTTGGGAGGGAAAATTTGAATGTGGGGGACTGTTTTAGGAAGTTTGTAATTGTCCTTTGTGTTTAATTAGGAGATTGGGGGGAAATTGTTTCTCATCTTGAATTTTGAATGAAAGTTTGAGATCTAGGGTTTCTTGCTTTGGGCTCTTGGCGTTGCCGGAGATTGGAGTGTTGTTCTTCCTCCGAGAGGAAGAACAAATTGTATCTTTACTTTTTTATTCATCACCTAGTGGAATACAAGTGGTGCTTTGAGTTTTCCTGCAGTTTTCCTCTAATTTTCCACTGTTTTGGCTGTTTTACTGCTGTGAACAGCAGTTTTCTTTGTTGTGGTACTTATTTTTTGTTAGGTTTGCTTGTGAATACAAGTATTTCCAATCATTTCACTAATGCTTTTGAACTCCAAAACGAAAGCAACAAATGAGATGAGTACATTAATATATGCAAAGTGATTGTTTCATCTTACAAATCTAAAATTTTGAATTCAATTTTAGGGGATTTACATACACAGCACTAAAAGCTTTACAATTTACATATTTAACATCTAAACTTAACTATTTACAAGACATAGCATTTTGTTAACAAAGTTAGCCAAAATAGCCCTGATCTCGAGATCACGCCATAGGAGCTCGCGGTCAGAAGTATCGACAAGCCTAGTGGCATGAGAAGAAAATGTCATGATAGGAGCTCGTTGGCAAAGACATCAATGGGATCGCAATGCGTGAAAGAGAGTAAGAGTTCATGAGACGTGTCGTGAAAGGACCAGCGACCTAAACTCACCATAAGAGCTCACTATTGAAGGTATTGACAAGATCAGTGATGTGAAGAACCAATAACATGTGAAGAAAAACGAAGAGTGGCAGAATGTGAAGGGAGATGGGATCTCATTCGTGAAATGCGGCAAGATTGGTGGTGTGAAGTGTATGGAGAGGTGAGTTTATGTATTATTTTTAATGTTTTTTCAGAATGTTATGTGAGTAAATAATAAAATTTAGGCATTAATTATGTAAATTGTAAAGTTTTGAGTGCTATGTATGTAAATCCCCCTTCAATTTTTAGTCACGCAAAACTTCAACTATAATATAAATGGATTGTTGAATACAAACTTTGGAAATAATTATGGATGTTCTTGCATTTCAACCTTGGAACAATATCATCAAAAGTAAATATGTTCACAAACCAAAAATAAACTTCTTTCACGTCTCCTTTAGTGTTTACTCATACGACTTTCATCCTTTTTTTTCTATTTTTAACTTTTTAACAGGTAAACTTCCCCCATACTGAAGATGGTGAAATTTTAGGTCATGCGCAATGGAGGAGTCTGGCCATGTTAGTAGAAACCTCTTGACTTTTCTCAGACAACATTAAAAGCGGATTGTGAACTAAGTACCAAGAAGATAAGAGCAGTACCTAGCCACCAATTAATCAAGGAATAACAAAGTGATTGGGGTTCCATATTTTTCTAAACAAAAGTAATGGTTCTTTACGCTTCTTCTAGGCCTACCATTCAGAAAGCTCGATATTTTACAAATATACAACTGAATTTTTGGAAGTTCGCTGACAGAAAATATAATGCTGAAATTCCCAACAATGCCTAAATAGTAAAAAGAATTCAGGGGGTAAAAGTTGAATGTAAATTAGAGCCCTGCTCATAGATAATTGACGAGGGTCTGCCTTCCATGCCTACTTTAAAGCATTCATACACATCTACTACTTCAATAATCCAAATAATTGCAGAACTAGCATGAAAAGAAACTATCAAAGAAAGAATGCTACAACAAAAGAAATGATTTCAGCATTCCACATAATCGCAACTCGGAATTACCATAATTCACACTTATCACACACGCATATGGAGGACGCCATTAATACACATTCATGTTTAGAAAGCACCACCCAAGTAATAAATACGTGACACTGGACTTGACAATCAACAATGCTGATACCCAATTAAAATCTCAACAAGCCAATCAATCAAAGAAACCAATGCCATTCCGGAGATTCGGAGCACAAGATCCATCCCAGACTCAACAACAAGGAGATGAATTAAAACGAACACTCACAGAAGATCTGGCACGCCTGGTCCACACGGTCCTGCGGCCATTGAAAATTGTGCGGGAGCTCGAGCAGCTTCTTCCAGAACTCGGAGGATATCGGGTAAGACTTTTCGCCGACGAACATGCCAATAAGCTCCTCTGCGACGTCCGCTGGACGCGCTCCACGTCGAGGTGTCGATGGCGCCGCACCCATGGTTCCCGCTTCAAACCCTAGCCCTCACTGCTTATCATCAGAAAACTAGACCACTTCTCTCCCCGACTCCAAGAACTAGATCTGTGCTTTGAAGAACGAAACCACGATGGAGGCAGAGGCAGAGGCGGAAGAGGAGATCGCGCACCGCTGCCGTGATGACCAAGAAGCGAGCAAATGGGGATTCTGCGAGAGCGAGAAGAGACTGAAGGGGCTTATTTCATTCGATTTTTTTTTTTTTATCGCCGCGCCTTATGTCTCATATATTTGGCTTCGTTTTCTTCCTTCGGAAGCAGAGGACCTCTCGGTCGCGAGGATGCAAAAGTCCAGAGCTATTTAATACGGCAGCCGATTGAACCGACGTTATTTACTTATATAAATATATATGAATGAGAAGAACTTTTTTTTTCCAAATTAAAAAAAATGAGCTAATTATAAATTAGCAGATTTTAATTTTTTTATGTTATATAAATAATATTGTTTAATAATAATGTATATATTTGAAATAATGATATTAAAAGTTTGAATAGATTATTAAAAAAAATATTTTAAAATTATTGTTATTAATATATTTTATTTTTGATAGGATAAATATGACAGGAACTTCCTACCTTTCCATTAAACTATAGGTTTGTTAAATTTAATATGAGTTTATAAATTATTTTATAATTTGTTAGGATGAAAAATATCGAAATTGATGAAGAAAAAAATAAAAAAATAACATTATATTTCTTGTAACTTTAATGCTATGAATTTTCTCTAAATAATATGTACGCCCAAAATTAATTTTTGTAGTTTCCAACTAGCTTTTGCCTCGAGATTCGTGCCCGATCAAGCTAATTTTGTGATGTCGTATCAATTACGAAGTCAGTAAAACAAAGACGTTCTTGTTGGGGGAGAGATGAGGAGTAAACAGCACAATGACGAAACAAGTAAAAGCAGCGAAGAGTAAAGGACTCCATGATTTAACTTGAAAAAAATTCAAAATAGAGAAAAAAATCACTGAGTCACACCACACCAAAAAATTCACTATGAAAATTGAAAGAAATAAGTACATATCTCTCTTCTCTCTTACTCTCTCCTTCTTTCTCTTCCCACATACATCGTTCTCAATTTCTACATACATAGAAAATACAAGAGAAGCAAGTTATAACACCCAAGAGATGCAACTCTTGAGAAAAACAATTGTTCATTTTGTCTCGCAGCATTGCGGTGCTAGTTTGAGGCGTTGCGGCACCCAGTCTTCACTCAACGTTGTGGCGCTTAGTCTCTTTCTTGACCTGCTGCAACATTATATCTCAACCGCTGCGATGCTCTGCGCTCTATTGTTCAACGCTGGAGCGCTCATGAACACGTACAGCATGGGGGCACTCGGGTACATAGCGCCGTTAGCCGTAACACTTGGGTACACAACGCCGAGGCACTTGGGTACACAGTATAGTACACTCGAGTACGTAGCGCCGGGTATGATCCTCAAGGTTTGAAACAGTTCTTATAAGGATTTAGAGGCCTCCTTTCATTATTCATTAGATACTGAAATATATATATATATATATATATATAAGCCTTTCTCACCAGACTTTAGCCTTACAGCCACCAGCTTTCTTCACAATCAACAACCGAATTGAAGAAACCGAAACCTTAGTACTTCAGAAGAAGACTAAACCCTCCATAAAACTACAAGTTTTCACAGTTACATCTACTTAGTGCTGGACTTCAAACTAGTACTTCTAAATTAACCAATGAGCCATTAATTCGCAACTTACAGTAATAGTACTTACCCTCCCATAAACTCAATATGCGTTAAATACTTAAACCGTCAAAGGGAAAAATATCAATTTTTCCAATGAATATCTATCTGTGATTTCTTATGCAATATGTGATAAATAGATGATGACTTTATGGATGGCTGTAACTTTTTATAAAGAAGATTGTAAAACTGTTTTAGAGAAAGTAACTTTTTCGAGTTTTTTCAAAGCTACCTTAAAAAGTAGTTTTCTAGCATAACAAGTTTTTAAGAACAACAACATCATTATCAAACTTTTATCCCACCATCTTATAGCATTAGGGGTACTTTTTTTATCACAAAACAGGGCCGATGCATTGCTCCACTTCAACCATCTAATTTGAATTCTACTCATAATATCCCCATCTATTTCACCATCGCTCTAAATAATACCCAAGATATCTAAAACGTGTACTCTTATTAATGACTTGATCGCTCAAAGTCACAAACCCATCACTAGATCTATTAGTACTAAAATCACTCTCCATGTATTTGGTTTTAGATCTACTCAAACGAAAACCTTTAGACTCTAAGGTTGACCTCCATAATTCAAGTTCACCTTCAATTTTCTCTAGTCTTATCAACAAGAAGAATATCGTCAGCAAAAAGCATACACCAATGAACATCTTCTTGCAAATCTCTAGTAAGAACATCCATGACTAAAGTAAAAAGGTATAGGCTTTAGCATGATCATTGATGTAATCTAACTAAAATTGAAAAATACTTGGCCAAACCACCTTGTGTTTGAAACAAGTAACGACTCCAGCAAACAAATCTCTAATGACTTGAATGAAAGCATTATTAATTCCTTTCTTTTTTAGAACTCTACATAACACTTCTTTTGGAACTTTATCACATGTTTTCTCTAAATCAATAAATATCATATGAAGATCTTCCTTTTTCTCTCTATACTTCTCCATCAAACCTCTCAATAAATGTACAGTTTCCATAGTAAATCTACCCGGCATGAATCTAAATTGATTTTGAGAAACATTAGTATCACGTCGTAATCTATATTCCATAACAAGTTTTAAGAACAGCAAAAAAATAGTAGCCAAGCAGAAACTATGGCAGCGGTATAAAAAACAAAGCAACAAAATTACTGTCCCAAAAGAAGCCTTAATAGTAAGCCTCTCAAGATAATACTCTCGAGTCTGGAGCTAATTTATATGTTGCAACTTGACTCTGTTGTTGTGGGTTGTTCCAGGTTTCATTTGGAAGGTGATTTTAGCCATTGTTTCTGGTTGGCTTTAATAACACTACTAATTCAGGGAGCTCTGCACATTCCCACAATCTGCAATGATACACTTTGCAACATATTTTGCGCACTGCAGCCACTACTCTCTGCATCAATTCATATTCCAGACCTTCGTCTACCAACTGCTTCCCTTCTTATCTGAACTACTGTACTAAACATTTATACAGGTATTCTCTACTGTAATAGATTTTGTTGAAGCTTCTCCTTCTCTGTTGCACAATTTCTACTATACAGAAGAACTGCATTCTTCTATAGAATGCAGAATTGTTGATTTCTCTGTTTGCTGATATTCTTCAGGCTCCAGTCATTTCTTCACTCATTTTCTCGTATTTTCAAAAAAATTTAATGGAAAAAATAATATCGAAATATCATGATAAAAAAAAAGAATGAAAGTGCTGCTACATTGATCATAAAACCTTCAATGCCCATTAATTAATACAATAAAAATGAAAGACTGTGACATTGATAGGAATTAGCAGAGAGGGATGTTATTAACGTAAAATTACTATTTTGCCATTGTGCATGTCGGTAAGAGCTGACTTCAGAGGTTCTTAGCTTATTACAAAATTTTGATGTACAATAATAACACTACGGGTGCCAATTTCGGGTCACGGGTCGGGTTCGGGTCGAACTCGAAATTGATCCGGCACTATTCAGGTCAACCCGAATCTGACCCGTTTTTAAAAGTGGGTTGATTTTCTGGATCCAAACACGACCCGCTTCGGGTCCGAGCCAACCCGACATGACCCGTTTCCAACAAAAAATTGCTAGTTTTCGGATAAAAAAGGGTCTGTCTCCTCTTTTTCGAGTAAAAAACGGGTCAATCTCGTGTTGTCGGGTCAAAATTGGGTTTTCGGGTCAAAGTGTCAACCCGAATCCGAAATGGTTCGGGTTCGGGTTGACCCTAACCCAAAATTTTCAGGTTTGATTCGAGTCGGATTTTCGGGTCGTGTCAAATATTGACACCCCTAAATAACACAAGAGAATTTAGATTTCTATCAACCTAAAATCAAATAAGTCTAAGTTCATTTAATTTCAACATCATTAAAATACTCAAATTAATATAATAAACCTGTACTCTCTACAAAATAAGGACACGTGGGGCTCGATTGGTGAGGAGGAAGTGCTCAAAGCATCCATAAAACTCCATCAAACCGCCGTCAAACCACTATAATCTAACTATGATCTTCTAACCCCTATCATTTGACCACCTTCGACGGACCACTGTCATTAGACCACCATCATAAAATTATCATTCGACATGGTCTTCCAGCTACCTCCACCCCTATTACAATTTCCTGATTATTGTAGATTGACTATCACTCCTAAAACATTGTTATCCGACAATAATCCTCTAATAACAACGCCAATGATGGTCGCTCAACTATTATCGTCTTGACCACCATCATCCAAATAAATATCCCAATCACCAGCATTGATGCTCGTCAACTTCAGTACCCACCATTGTCATCAACATTGATGCACATTGTTGACACTAATATAAACATCTCCCAACTTCATGCTTGTCACCACTTACGTCCACACAAGCCATCACCAATAAGATCAATACATGTTGTCCACATAATCTTTGCCTCATTAAGTCAAAATCAATATTTTAAATGGACTTTATTTTTGCCCTTCTCTATTTATAGGAGAACGACCAAAAAAACACAAAGGATCTCTTGAAGTCAACTCCAATGACCATTGATAGTCTTCGGATCTTCCCCCCACCAATGACCGTTGCCGGACTTTCGCTCGTTCGTTGATAGTTGATGAATCTCTTTCGGATCTCTTCCCCCACCGGTCTTCATCGGACTTCCGCCAGTTCATCAGCCACCGTCGAATCTCTTCCCAACCACAGTGCATCACTGGAATTCCGCCTATTTGTTGATAACTGTTGAATATCTTCTAGATCCCCAACCATTGTGGCACCTCTATCGAATATTCTCCTAAATGTTGCAACCATACTTTAAATACCTATCATTCAATCAATATCAAGAATTTTGGCCTAAAATTTTGTTGATTCTCCAATACATTGTATTCTCATCGACCATGGATTAAGACATGATTTGATCTCAGTAATTTGCTCAAATAATAGTAGAATCATTTCAACTTTGTGAGATCCCGTTATTTTTTTCCTTTTCAAGATTTTTCACGTAAAAATTTTGATACTTTTTATCATTTCAATTCTCTTTGTGCACTAAATTTCCGTGCATCACTAAGATGTAAAATCATTTTACTCTATCATCGCAAATTTCTCAGCCCGCAACCGCTCTATTATTATTTTAAACTTTCAAGATAAAATTTTCCCAATTTATAAATTAATAATTAGTATAAAAATTATCTGGATTGAAATCTTGTCTACAATGAGAACCTTCTAGGAGATTCAAGGCCACGATAACAATTGTGTGGTGTATTTGGCGGTGAGTAAAATGTTTTTAATTTATATTATAAAATATAATATAAAATAAATTTCAAACTTATAATTTTTAAGTTAATTTCTTTTTTGTTTTAAACATAAAATGAAATGTTAGATTAATATTTTAAATTTAAGATTATATAAATAAATATTACTGATAAAAAGTTTTAAAATATTAAATAAATTAAATTTTCTTCACCATTAACTATAATTATTTAATCTCACAAAGGAAGATAATTTTATATTTTATGATTAAAAATTTAATTAATCTTATAAATATTTTAGTTAAGCTAAATAAATTGTGAAAGCAATTTTTGCCTTTCTAAAATATTCACTGAAAGCTGGTAAAATCTGAGCCCTTGAAATGATAGCACCCATTTAAGTAACAAAATGATTGTTTTTTATTGAATTAGCCTGCTAAAGGAACAACCATAATTAATGCACACAATAGACTTCTAATAGTTTTCCAATTATTTCCTTGATGGAAATGACTCAAATAAATATTTTTCCGTTTGGCATAAGTAGTTGGTCTCACTCGAATTTGATCAGATTCAAATCCGATCAACTCAAACTGATCATTTCAATAAATAGATAAAAAAGATGAACTTGAACCCGGCCCGCAAACAATTCGAACTCGACCTAATTACTCGTAAACATCTCTTCATCGATGGCTCTTTCTATATGTGGTTGATTTAAAGCTTATTAATTAATGGTAGCTTTGATCTTTTTGAGCCTATTCCTCAAGAAATTTTGGTTGGTTTAAAACTTAGTAACTCTTGTTATTTTTTATCTTTTTGAGCCTACTCTTGAAGAAATTTTGCAAGTTAGTAATCTCTTTAGTAATAAAATATGATGAATATTGCATCTTCTTTTTAGCTTTATATTTGTTTATGTGATTTTGAGGGCAAAAGAATGGCATGGTGATCTTTGGTTTTCTTGATTTTTTCAGGGTAAATTTTTATGAGTTTTTCAATTTTTTATGCCGGTATAGTTTTTGAACTTGTTGCATTAGATGATTTTGATTGCTCTTCTAGAGGTTTTATCCTACTGGAAAATTATCTCCTACATTACCTTTCTCTCCATTTTTTGAAAATACTCCACTTTGCAATGCAACTATGGGAAAAATTATTCTGTGCAAACATTGAATGTTGCCCGAAGACCAATCAAAATGCACAACGTCACCCTTTTACTGCATCACAGCTCAGTACTGCTCAGTACCAAAGCTCAATACTGCTCGGTACTGCGACATCCGGAGGTAGAGCTACGTCTATCATCCACAAAGAATAATTTCTCCAGCTATGAACACTACAATTTTTGTTTTCTATTTCCATGTGAAGGTTTTTTTTATGTATATGGTGGTCATCAATTTAGTTCTTTTGATCTGAGTTAGAGTCAAATGTTTTTAATTTATACCTTGATCTTTATAATCATTTTGCTTTAATATCTTTGGCATTTGGCCCTCATCAATCAAGTCAAGTCTAAATTAGCTCATCAGTCTGCTTGACCCAGCTACACCCCTCATGTCTTTGATTTAATGCTTGCTAAGCGTGTCTCAATTGCTTTTTATTCAAGTAGCTCCACTTGTAAATGGGATACACTCATTTCTTCCAATTTAGCTTATTGATTGGAATCATTAAATATTCTAAGGATTTTTAGGCCTTTATGTTAGTGGAACACATGGCAATCATATTTCCATACCATCTCATCCGATCAATAAAGTCTCACCAAACAAATAAAAACATTATCCCACATAGTTAGTGACTGCATCAGACATGAACACTGATATCATGAAAGAATATTCTTATAGAAACCGAATGAAGGGGAAAAGAGGAGAAACCGTTGGCATTCAACATTTTTAGTACTTGTGATCTCCAGACAGTAATTTTCGGGAGAGAGCTGAGTGTGCACGATAATCTTGATGTTAGAGATCACGAACTTGAGAGTGGTCGGTATGTTGCACTGATCATCGGGCTCGGTTTTTTTATGATCCGTTATTTGAGAGGAGTTCGCCATTGCCGGAAGAAAGAAGAAAAGTCGAGAATCAAAGACGGGGAGAAGAAAGAGGAGACGTCTCTAATACCATGAAAGAAGTGTTTGAATGAATTAACATCGCCATAGATACAAAGTTCTAATACATGCGAGCCATATATAGAGCTAGACTTATAGCCCAACCTATACACGTGTACAAAAAGCATAGCAAGTTAAATACATGTAGGGGTACAGGCTATATGTATCTGTTATTAATAGCAAACAGGAAAAAGCTTACCATAAGCATTTTAGTTATCAAGGAAATTACACTACTAACATGCCAGGAAAGAACTTCTTGAGCAGAGCAGTAGTAAAAGCTTCTTACAGATTATGATATACCAAACCCCATTCACTGTGTAGTTGACATATAGCAAGCGGTTCTCATCAAACATTTAATACATAAAACAAGCCTTCATGGTGAGGGAAGATGCCAACAAGCCTTCCGCAGTTCTGCTACATCAAGCTCTTCAGGGAAGTTCTGTAGAGTTCAACGCTTTCCTTGTAAAGAGATGTCGAGGAGGCGAGCAACACCGTGTGTCCAAATCTCATGCTCACTCTGGCTCCTGCACTCGAATTCTATAACTCGGCCCTCGGCCGTCCGCAAGCCGAAATAGCGCCGCTGCCCTCCACCTTCAAGCAAGTGCCGGCCAGGCCAAGCTGCCACTTCCTTGCACACCTCTACAACCACACCTGCACCCAAAAGTCACGGAGATGAAAGTGTTTGGAGAGTAAGGCTTGGTTTGGGACGACTTTTGCTTCTTAAAGTAGTTTTTTAGTATAAATTTTTTAATTTTTTACTAGAAAGCTTCTTTATGAAGCAGTAAGAAAGCCATTTGGAGCCTAAGAGTAGCCTTTTTCACTTCTTTGCTTTACAGATTGTTTACTATACTTATCTTGTTTAAGAAAATTGTAATGAGTAATTTTTCGAGAACGAATATGCCAAGAGTATGATATGCGGTGCTGAAGCTATAAAATTCGAAGGACAAAGTTATGCCCAATTTAGCTTCAAGCAAGCAGACCATAAAAGACGTAATGTTCAAGTTAAGCCAAAAAGACAACTATTAACCTAAAGACTTAAGCAAAAGAAAAGGAGCAGCAGGTAGTTGATTAAAAACTAAATTTTTATTTCACTTCTAGTGAATCTCAACATAAAATTATGTTTTCCCTTTGTAAATAAGCAAATTTTAAATTTGGAAGGTTTACTCTTTTTCTTCTTTGTAATTGTCCCAGCAATGTGCTTGCTCTTCATTTTCAGCATCACCTAATTGCAGAATCAGAACCAAAAAGCAACAAAATCAGCTCAAGCGAAAATTTTCAGCTTAACAAAACATGCAGTAGGAAGGAAACCTGGCTCATCTTATTCACATAAACAGAGACAATCTTCCAGTGAAGAGAACCTGAAAAAAAATAGCAAAAAAAGGGAGAATTGAAACAAACACGTAGGACTAATTCAGCTGAAGCTGTAAAGAATTTACCTTTCCTGGTACGTTTAAGTAGCTCAGCTCCGCGAGCGAGAAACTCCAGGCTATACATGCCCAGGAAATCCTCTTGAGGCTGAATCTCATCGCTCAAACCAGAATTACCACTTACAAGAGCAGTCGTGGGACTCTTCTGCTGTTTCTGAACTCGGCAATTCTGATCAAACTGAGAACAAACGCCTCCCTTCTCCACCGGAATCACTGCTGCTATGTTCCAAGCTTCCCTTAGCGCCCTCGCCCTCAGCGTCGCCGCAGCTCTCAAGGCTTTAAACCAGTTAAAAAATTTTCAGGAAGATTTTCATGTAAAAATTACAATTTTATCATTGGATTTACCCGTGGCGGCGGCTGCCGTCAAGGTGACAATATCGCCAGGAGTGCGGACGTTGACGGCAGAGCTAATGACGGCCGCAAGGTGGTCACGTTCGGCGCCCATGGCTTCGGCCGCGTCGACGCATTGGGAAGCCACGAGGGTCGCAGCTGATGCGACGGCCATGTCCGTGCGAGCCGCGCGCACGTGCCGTTCCGACGCTACTAAAGCCGCTTCCGTCGCCACCGCGGCCACCGCCGCCGCAACTCCAGCTACCGAGATCGCTGCGTGCAGTTGCGCGTTGTGCGCGCGAGCCTCTTCTTTCTTCTTCTCCCGCCGATCCTTCAGCCATCTTCCGACCGTTCGGCCGCCAGCGGCGGCCGGACGTAGCTGCGGCGGCTTCGCCGCCGCGCTGATTGCTCGAACATACTGCCAGGGGAATAAGGGTGGTGAGCAGGGTCCAATGAATAAACAGTAAGCTCCATTAATTTACGAAGCTCATACAAATTCTTAATTTTTCCTTGCATGATCAATCAGCATAATCACACTCTTAACTCTTAAAAATCAGACATTTTTATATGAGTATTTTGCCATTGTTTATAAATTTTTTATTGCTTATATTAACAATTTCATTTTATATTATTTCTATGTCAAAGTTGTCAGAGTTAAAAATTGGAAAGACTAATACGATTTTATCATGCAATTTTTTATTTTGCTTGACAGCCAAAGCGTTATCAATTGATTTACTTGACATAAAAATTATTATCACCAAAGAAATTTTAATATAATTTCAGATGGGGACAGAGGTACACAGAGAAACGTGTTCACAAAGAGAGAGAGGCCAAAGAGGAGAGAGACGTTTTCCAGATTTTACGAAAACAGCCCCATGAAGAGAAAGAGTGGGGTCATTCCGGGAATAGAATTTGTAAGTCCTGTAGCAGAGGACAGGCTAAAGAATCAAAGCTGCTTCCAGAGATGCAAAGAAAAAGAAGAAGCAGAGGAAGAGGACAAAATAACCAAACATGCAGATAAATTTTAATGACAAAAATAAAACCAGCTACCAGCTAGATGGACCAAAATGTCCACAAATCTCACCATTTGTTTTGTCTTTATTAATTTCAGATAGCAGCTTTGTTTATTTTTTATAACAGTGAGGGGCCAATTTCGGAATCTCAGTAGGAAAAACCAAAAATAGAAGCAAATAATGCACGCGCCGAAAGCCCAACGGTCAAAAGAGGAAAATAATCAAAGCAATTACTAACAGTCCTGATTCATCTAAATAAAATCAAGTTAAATCGTATTTTGTATTGTAATTTTTGATGGAAAGTTTTCTTAAGTATGTGAGAAAATTTTACATCTGTGAGATTTCTTGCTTCTCAGCAAATCTATTCATGAAAATTCTGTCCTTGAAGGAAATTTTTTTTTCTTTTCTTGTCTGAGAACAGTGAAGCTTCTTTACTCTACTCTTAAGCCTGGGCTATGTAAACTTGAGTAGGGGTATTCTGGGATGATGTTTGCAGGAGAATGTTAGCTGGGGAATTCTTGGCCTAAAGATTAAAGCTTCCCGAACGAAAATGGCATGTTGTGACAGATGCGTCAGCTATTTTATTGAAAAAAGAGAAAGGATCACTCCTCGCTCTCTTTGATTTGCAGAGGTGTGGTTGGTGGGGCAAAAGCTACGGCGAAGGCTGACAAGTTGGTCGCTTTGTCTTCCATGCTTCGGCTTCCAAAAACGACTCCTTTACTTTTTCAGAGAATAGGCAACCATTGCTCTGCTGAATAGCTAAGAGAGAGAGTGAGAGAGAGAGAGAGAGAGATGTAAGACCTTGACGTCATCATGATCGGAAGGGGAGACCGGCGGGCTGTCGGAGAGTGAGCCACCGCTCTGGCCGCCATTGAGTGGGCCGCTGCTGTGGGAGAGACGACCGGAGGTCAAAGGTGAGACTTCTTGCTGCGAGAGAGAAGTGTATCAGAAGAATATTTAAGTAATCAATATAGTCTTAGAAGACAGCAATTCGAGAGAAGAGACCCAAATCTTCAAAGAAAAACTATCATTATGCGAATATAATTTGCATTTACTTAATTGTACGGTGCAAATGAATATCTAATAGTTGAGATAGCAAATAAATCTTAATTTTCAAAGACCTGATTCTCTATTCCAATCAATCTAACGTTCACTTCAACGGCTAAATAAATTTATTTCAATTATAGCGAGCATTATTTAAAATGTAATGCTAAGTCTAGAAATAAAAATTAAAATTAATCAAGAAGAAAGTAACAGAGCACTCCCCAAGCAAAATAATCACTCGGATTTCTGTTTCCAATTTGTCTATAATGGAAGAAAAGGATCCACAGAAGCAAGAAAGCTACAGTCTTACTACAGCTGTAAGCGAAAAAAACCTCGCGAGAACAAAATAAAAGAAGAAGAACTAAACTTCCCCTCTTTGAGCGTTTAAATCACTTACTGACTGAGACATTATTCGCTCTAAAACAAGCTGCGAAGTGGCAGATGAGGCGAAGGAGAACGGGCTTCCAGCGATGGCTGCCGGAATCGGTGCCACCTCCTCTTCATGTTCAGCAATAGCTTCCTCCATTATGATTCCGCCGGAAGCCGCCGGTGGCGGCGGAGCTGCAGGAGAAACCGCTCGTGATACTTCAAGAGCAGAGACGCTCCAAGAGCGAGCAAGGAATTCCATTGGATCGAGAGGTAACTCCGGTGGCCGGAGACCGGCGGACCGCGGCGGACCACTATCGTCGTTCATTTTGATGGCGAAGGTATAGGAGGGAAGAGCAAGAGACAAGGAGTTTCAGAGCGAGCGTGCTCTGTTTTATCTTTGCCTGGTAGGATTGATAAACTTCTGAAGCCTGTCACTCTCTTCAGTTCGCAATTTCTCTCTCTAAAATTAGAGTTAACAAAAAACCCCTATGATTTGATATAATTACATATTTTATGCTATTGTAATTCATTGTAATTGATAAATGTAAGAATATAAGATTTGCCTTGAGGTTGATAGTGATTAGATTACTGTAAGTTCATATATATCATATAATTTCTATGTATTAACAAATTTAATATTAAAAATTAAAAATTTATTTATTTAATAATTAAATCTTTAAACGATATAATTATTTTAAATAAATTTTATTTTCATGCATATATTTAAATGCTCTTAAGTCTTAACACACTAAATATTATGTAAATTTTTAAAAAGATGTGGAGATTTAAGCAACATTCAGGTTTTGTTCAAGTCTGGTCGAGTAGACCAAACAAGAAATAAAAATATATTTTTTTTAAATTGAGTTAGGCTAAATTGAAATACATTAAAAAAATGCTAAATTTACGTAAAATTCATTCAGATCATATTACCTGTGTGTGCAATGAGAACGGGATAAAATTGACGACAATGAAGGAATCGTATGAATAAGATTAGTGTTGAGGATGAGTCAATGCGAGACAGCTTTCTTATTGATTCTCGAAGTAATTTTTTAGCACAAATTTTTTTTTTGTATTAAAAAATTGCTTTAAGAAGCAACAAAAAGCTGATTTAAGAAAATTTCTTATGACTTCTTAAAGTAAATTTTCAGTACAAAAAAATTTAATTTTTGTATTGAAAAAGCTGCTTTAAGAAGCAATAAGAAAGTCATCTCAAACTAAGCCTAAAACTTCAGAGATCATATTGACAGAGATAGAATATGGAATGAAATCATCTCAATCGAAGCCTTACTCAACCAATCCTCCCTTTTGCTCCAATATATTTCAAAATTAGAAATTGTAATATTTATTTCAAATTTTTATAATATCCCACTAAAAAAAAATCAATTTGGTCGTATGAATTTGAGGTATCATGCATGTGATGACAGAAAACAGCTTCTCATTACAAAATTTTTGTATAAGCAGCAAAAAAATAATGACCAAAAGAAATTAAGATTGCCATCTAATTAAAAAATAAAATAGTAAAAAAAAAAACGATCTCAATCGAAGCCTTACTCAACCAATCCTCCCTTTTGCTCCAATATATTTCAAAATTAGAAATTGTAATATTTATTTCAAATTTTTATAATATCCCACTAAAAAAAAATCAATTTGGCACTTACCATAATGGATCCACCAAGACAAATAGTGATAAGACTTCCCACATAAGCAAATCTCATATCCTCTGTCACCTTCAATATATATTCTCACCAAAATCAAAGAAAAGTCTTACAGGAAATCATTTCATTAATCACTTGTATGAGCTCCACACCGTTGATTCGAAGAAAGAGAAGAAAATGGACGGCTGGATGATGATGTGATGAAGCGAAGATGGGCATCTTATCAGAAATGGAATATAAGTAGATGGCGACAAGCAATAAAGATTTGTCGAAGGAAATGAATGATCACAGTTGAAGTAGGAAAAACTAAACATCAGCATTCATTTCTGTGTAATGGGGAGCTCCATCTTGTGGGGGACATATAAAATCATGCAAGCTATCAACTTTTGGTCATTGGTGCTGTGAGCACTTACTATTCAAGTTATTTTTTAGGTCATTATTTTTTGGTGTAATATTAAGATTTTGTTAGGGACAATATTATTATTATTTCTTTTTTTTAGATCAAAATCATAATTATTATTTGTTTTTAATACTTCCAAGAATTTTTTGTATTAAAAAATTGCCTTTCTGTATAGCTTTAGAATTTATTTGGGATGACAATAACGTTTTATAAAATTTATTGTATGAAAAATAGCTTAGTAATTATAGCTGGAAAAATAGCTTTTCATAAAAAAAAATTCAAAGGTTTTGTTTAGGATGGCATTCATACTACTTTTTAAAGTATTTTTTTAGTAGAAAAAATAAAAAAAATAATAATAAGAAAATCGTTCCAAACAAGCCATAAAAAAAAAAAGAGAAAGCAACAATAAAATAGAAGCAAAAAAAAAAAAAAAAAAAAAAAAAAAAAAAAAAAAAAAAAAAAAAAAATTCTAGACCTTAAAAAGCTAGTTTCTCTGCTACAGTTTTACAAAGCACTAAGTAAACTTTCTCTAACCCTTTAATGATTGATTTATTATATTTGTTGCGTCCTCGAATATTCACAGTAGTATAGAACTAAAAAGTTTATTGTCTTTGTTTTGTTTGAAGATTCAGTATATGAAAAGATAAAAGTGTAGGGGTGCATCGTTCGTAAGGGATACTAGAATTTTTACGTGAAAATCCCTGAAAAGGAAGAACAGCCACGAGGCATTGCCCAATTTAAATGAATCCACTAATATTTATTATTCATTACAAGCGATGTCCTTCCTTGAAAAAATGAGGTTGCTCAATGTAGCAAATATACATCATATAGAGCAATTTACATGACTAGAAGAATCTAATGACATAAGAATTGTTCTCAAGAGAGTGTTGACTTGTTCATTTGGTTGGTATGATTGTATTTTTGGCGACAGAGATCAAAGGGCAAAGGACCATAGTCGGCAAGTGATGAAGTTCAGAAGGACCGTAGTTGGATAATGGTTGTCGAAAGGGCAATAATCAGCAAGTGACGGAGGTCGGAGGGAATATAATCGATGGGCGTTGGTGGTCAGATGGATTGAAGTTAGTAGGCGATGATGGTTGGAGACATTGTAGTCGACAAACGATGGTGGTTGAAGGAACCATATGTGAAAACCCTTAAGTATAAAAGAAGCTAAAATCTTAAGCATTGAGATGCATTTTGGTGAAATGGTCAAAATTTTATTAAGAAACTCTACAATTAAGTGTGTTTATCCTAGAAAAATATTGGAATGAGTGAACTCTTGAAAAACTACACTAACAGGACAAAATCACGAGACCTTTAGGTCAAAGCATATAATATATCAATAATTAAGAGTTTGGTCTATCACACCATATTTGATGGATGACGGTGGAGGAAGGCTCTTAACTTGCTGCCGGATGGACGATCGACGATGATGGTCGGGAGGAGACTTAACAGATGCAGGGTGATAGCATGAATTCATCAGTAGTGGTGCTAGGGCGGAGCTCAAAGATTCTTCAAGCCCCATAGCTTTTCTCTTCCTCCTCCTTTCCCCTCATAAAGATTGAGGGTCTATTTATAATTTTTTAGGAGTTACATGCTTAGTAAATATGATCAGGAAGATCCAAGATAGATTTGGTCTTTTTCATCGGATGGTCCATATTGATTCCCTTGATCTTATAGTGTTTATGAGGCATTTAAGTGTCTTAATGATATCAAAATTTGGCTATCTTGGGCTCCTTGGATTTTTCTTGTTGAGCCGCTCGATTCGACTATAAGCATATCATATTTAAATATCATTTGGTCATCCAATTAATTCTTTGAAGCTTCCAAGAATGTTTTGGTCCTTTGATTTAGGCTCGAATTGAATTGTATTTGGTGTCATTGAGTTTGTCTTCTCGAAACATTCAATTTGGCTATAAACTTTTTGAAATCAGAATTTGAATGATCAATAATTTTAATTTAAAAGATCTAAAATCAAATTTGCGGGGTATCAACATTGAACACAAGTTATTTTATTTCCTTTTGAAAAATAATGAGCATATCAATTATGATTATATAAATTATTATTTATGAGTGTATTGGAATTCAAATTGCCAGCAATAAGACAAAGTTTTACAACCACTCAACTATTGCTTTTTTGTAGTTATTTGAAAAATAAAATATACTTTAAATCTGGTATATATTATATATGGAAACAACTCTCTCTCTCTCTCTCTCTCTCTCTCACACACACACATATATATATATATATTAAATTATTTTTTTGAAATTAAATACTATAATGTCTAATTAATTACTTTTTCTTTAAAAAATGGTATTTAAAAGAAAGAGAAAAAAATTAATGTTTTTTATGTAATTTGTAATTTATTATTTACATTGTGTGAAAATATATTCATAAAAATTAGAATTTTTTTTTAAATCTTTATAAAAATTAAATTATTATTTACATTATACACCCATTTTCGAATAAATTTAAAATTTAAAATTTATCTTTGCCGTACGACGTCTGTGTTCTGCGGGTTCCAAAGCCACATAAGGCTTACAAAAATAATAAATAGCAACGATGCTCGCTGTCTACAAGACTATGAAGACTAATGATTCACTCCTCTCATAAATTAAAGCTCAATGAAGTATCAAAGCCATTTAAAATATGCTCAAAGAGTGTTATAAAGCTGATGAAATTATATCTTTCCTCTTTGTTTGACAACTCGTGTACTACAATTAGGAGTATCAATTTTTGACACAACCCAAACAGGATCCGGAAAAATTCTGGTTCGGGTCAATCTAGTTCGGATTGACCCAGCAATGTGAAATTGACACGAAAACTCATATTTGACCCGAAAACCTGAGATTAACCCGCTTTTGAACCGATTTTTTACCCGAAAACTAGCAATTTTGGATCAATCTCGAGTCATTCGTGTCAGGTCGGGTTGACCCGGACACGAATCGAGTCGGGTTCAGGTCTGGAAACCTGACCCATTTTTAAAAACGGGTCGGGTTTGGGTTGACCCGAATAGTGTCGGGTAAGTTCCGGGTTAGACCCGAACCCGACCCGTTGACCCGAATTGACACCCCTAACTACAACTATGTTATTCAAACTATTTATTATTTATTGTCTCTGTAAAATTATTTATTAAATTTAATCACATTTCTTTCATAAATTTTTTAAAAACTAAGTAGATAATTTCTTAATATTTGCTTCATACTTAATAGAATATATGAATAATAAGATAATAACATAAAATAATTTATTAAAAATAACTCTTGGCCAACTCCATCTTAAACAACAAACATAACATATTCATGAATTTAAATGAACTAGACAATCTATTTTAGATTTTATTTGAGACGG